TATCCGCTACATCCCCGACAAGCACATCTGCTTCGTGACCTTCATCGACCCTACCGCTGCTGCCTCCTTCTACGCCCTCAGCAACCTTCAGGGCCTCATGATTCACAACCGACGCCTCAAGATCGGCTGGGGCAAGCACTCGGGTGCTCTCCCACCGGCCATTGCCCTTGCTGTCAGCGGTGGTGCTTCGCGAAACGTGTACATCGGTAACCTTGACGAGACCTGGACTGAGGAGCGCCTGCGACAGGACTTTTCCGAGTATGGCGAGATCGAGCTTGTCAACACTCTGCGTGAGAAGAGCTGCGCATTTGTCAACTTCACCAACATTGCCAACGCCATCAAGGCTATCGAGGCCATCCGAGGACGGGAAGAGTACAAGAAGTTCAAGGTCAACTTTGGAAAGGACCGTTGTGGCAACCCGCCCCGCCAGATGCAGCAGTCTCAGTCCCCTCGCGGAGATGGCGTCTCCTCTCCCCCTCCTAACGGATCTCAGAACAGCGGCTCTCCCACAAATGGCAACACTCCTCAGCAGTCGGCCACTCTCTTCAATGCCAACAACAACCCCCTGACCATGTATCTCAACCAGGTGTCTCAACAAGCTCAGCAGCAGCAACATCACCAACAACAGCAGATTGCTGCTCAGCAGAGTGCCCTGTTTGGCACAGCACAGCCATCACCTGGTGAGCTAGGCCTCGATGTTCCCCAGCAGGTCCCCATCTCGGGCCACGACCAGTCGGCGAGCATCTCCAACGGCTACCCTGCCAACGGTGCTACCTCTGGTGCTACAACCATTGGCGGTATGCTGGCTCCTGGCCCTCGTGGCCAACACAACCGGGCAGTCAGCCTTCCGGTGCTTGCTCCTGGGTTTGAGAATGGCGGCAACAGCCCCAATGGCATGCCTGGCGCTGAGAATGAGCGACGTGGTCACCACTACCAGGCCAGCTTCGGCGGCATGGGATCTGGATTTGGCCTCGCCATCCAAGGAGGTCTGAACGGATGGGTTGAGGAGGAGGTTGCCAACTAATGACGCTTGTGCATCTTTCCATATTCAATCTCTGCGCAGGCGAGAATGAACGAAAACTTGCTTAAACGTTGTAATTGACGCACATTTGGTGCGTGCTGTCCTTTTTGCTTGGGCTTTACACACCTTCATTCTTTGATTTCCCTTTTTCTTGATAATTTACCCCTTTGGACGGATTCGTCATTGTTTCCTGGTGTTGCGCTCATGGCGAGAAGAGAGCGTTCAGAAGAGAAGACATTGTGGATAATACTCCCCTTGTAGAAGAGGGGGTGCACATGGATGGTTGAGATGAGACGTGGATGGAAGGTGCTGGATGAGATTCAGCTTGGGATGGATGAGAGGATATATCACCTGCGTTTATGTCTATTATGGAGTATTTGGTCAGGTTAGGCACTACTACAGTCTTGAACGCAGATCAGGATATGGTCATTTATATCATCGTCTCTTGTCCCCGTGCCTATGATGTAACTGATGTAAGTTGGCTTGATGCTCCGTGTCGAGCTGGCTTGAGCCCTCATACGTGTTAGAGACTGGCTATCATCGAAAGAGGCTCCAGCTGGCTCTGCAACTTGACACCGAACCAACCCACGCATAAACCCCATGTTTTTGTCTAATTCACCAACACCTTAACTCCTATGTTGAACCGACAGAATGATCTAGATTGATAATTGGTTTTTGTCTTTCTTTGTACTGTAAAGGTTTATGGTTAATATCCTGCAGGCTCTGGCTTGGGTGGGAACGTGGGCTCCTTCAGATTGGAGCGACACTGGTTCTTCCAGTCAATAGGGGTGAACTTGTCAACAATAGCCTTGAAGGCTTCCTGTGTAAGAGTTGTAACGTAAGCCATATGTACGCGATGGTTATGCTTAATCATGAGCCAGATGAGGCATACGACAACTCACCAAAGTGCAGAAGGACTCGTCCCCATCGAAATGCTTGCCGGCGGGTTTGCAGCCAGGGATAGTAACTGGGCGATCATTGTAGCGGAGACGGACGTAGTAGCCTTCCAGTCGTTTCTTTTCATCATCGCTCAAGTCAGGGGTCTTCTTGCGCCCGATACCTGGTGGCGGAGTGCCAGCAGTTGAGGTTTGTTTGCTACCCCAGCCAAAGAGGGACAGAAACCCGCCGCTTGGCTTCGGGGCTACAGGCGGTGGAGTTGCGCCTTGATTGACGTGACGGAACAACTCAATGGCAATGTGGCTCGTAAATGGGGGCCAGGCATCCTCGTTGAAGGCTCCCAAGCTGGAGAGTGTAGCGGCGAGGGTGGTATCATGACAACCACTGAGGCCGAAACGTATAGGCGGGAGTGTGGTAGAAGTAGCTGTTTTACTTGTAGCCACCTCATACTGACCATCAGCGGCAGAGTGCTCAGTACTTCCGACCATTCGAGCGACAACGTCACCAAGAAGACCTCCGATGCCCAAGGTACGATACTCCTGGCTCTCCTTATAGCCGGCATACCACTCCTCCACGCCGATCTTTTCAATGATGCGCTTGACTTCTGGGTCGTAGAATTCATCAGGCAGACGTGTAGCAGGGCCATGAGCTTTGGTAGCATTCATGGTGTCCATAATACCGCTGAGACGTGGACGAGAGTCCACCGCGACGCGGTCTTCGGGCATCCAGTGGCCAATGCGCTTGGTCAAGTAAGCCATCTCTTCCGAGTCGTTCCAGCGCTCAGCTGCCCGCTTGGCAAAGGCGCGGGCTAGAGCGGCGAAACGCCGACAGTTGCCATCGTTGGGAAAGAGAGTCTCGTCGGCGGGTGATCGGGTAAGAATGGTGGGGGGGTTTAGGCCGGCCGCGCGGGCAGAGGGTGGGTAGAGGCCATAGAAGGCTTGCTGGAGGGATTCAAGAGCGCGAGGCACGGGAGTTGTCCGGAGGTAGATAGAGGAAGTATCGACATCGGCAGCAAGAGTATCAGGGAGGAAATGAAGCCGGTCGACATAGAGATGGCGGAGGCGCTGGCCTAGGGCATAGGTAGTCTCGCGTCCGCGATCGGTCAGCATGCCCATGTCGCAGATGGCATCAAGCTCGCCATTGCGGCCGGATGCGATCACAGGGATATCATCGGGTCCAAAGGTCTCGAGGCGGCGCTTCCACTCAAGAGCCGTGAGGCCCGGATTGTCGGCAGGTTCGGCATCGGAAGTGGCGGCGGAGGGGTCAAGAATAGCGCTCGTCAGCCGGCGAGCGGCAGAGCAATAGGGCCAGAAGGGAGGAAGACCGGTAGAGTGAAAGCGGGCGTTGATCGGCGTGCGCTCACCATGGCGAAGCAGAATCTGGACGAGCTGGAGGCGCAATTCGGGAGGATAGAGGGTGTTGAGCTCCTCGTCCGAGTACGGAAGTCGAGGCTGAAGTGTCGACATTATGGATACGCGGGTGGTTCACTGACCTGTCTGAACGATGTCGGCGCTTTTATGTTGATGAACAGGTAGGTGTTGACTGGGGAAATGATGCCCAACCGAACGACTAGCTACGGACCCATTGACAGCTAAATCGGTGAGAAAAGGATCATGATGTGACGACGGGCGGTCAGTCGCTGTAAGGATCCGGGCCGTGTCGGGGCCGGTAACCGGGGCCGATGGAGACGATGCCGTGGGGGAGGAGTCGGCGGGAGGTTGGATTTGGATGACGTCGGGGATCACTTCACCGATCAACCGCCGATCAACGGCGACGGGTGGCTGGTGACTTCTTTTTTTGGGCAGACAGACAGGGCCATGACCTATGAGGCTGAATGTTACTCGACGTCAATGGTTGGTCAGAGGAGGGAGAGCTGAAGTGAGCAGGGCGGAGTGATTGGCAGTGGAGAGACCGTCATTCGTTGGAAGTTGATGTAGTTGCTAATTCTCCAACCTGCAAGGGGCTTGTTTCTGGTATGTTGTCACAGGTACTGCACTGTGCTGTACTGTAATACTCGCTTGTCGTATTCTCGTGATGGATTCGCAATCATTGTACGAGACCAGGCCCGTTATTGACCATTCTCTTGGTCATGAAAGATGGAGATGGGGGTCTCGTAAGGGTCCACGAATTGAGGCCCCATAATCACATGTCTGTCTCCTGCCCAGGCTTGAACCCCTTGGCCAAGCATGGCTCCTTCCTGAATAGGAGCTGACATATCTTCGTACTTGCCCGATTGTTTAGGTTCCAAGACTTACCAGCGCAACGGCTCTGACAAGCCGCTGACAGGGAAGGCGCAACCCTTGGGTACGGGGAACTCTCCATCGCACACCACGGTCACGCTTGCTTATCCTTGAAACCTTGACATCGCCAGCTTCAACGGCAGCAACTCTGCTTCTGCACTGTACTACAAAAGATGGATCGTCGCGGCCTGCCTTTTAACGGGGCCATCCAGCGCCTCCGGATGCCAAGCGCCGATTCCCCAGACGCCTCTCGGACCCCAATTGGTGCCGAATTCCCCGTTCCGCTGGCCCCGTCGCTTACACCATGACCTCATCAATTCAGCGATGATCAAGGCTGATGCTTGAAGATAATTGCCAGCTCGCAGTCCCCTGGCTACTAAAAAGGACACTGTCCAAATCTCCCATCGCACAAAGGAGAAGCCTCCTCTTCAGCTCAGAATCCTTTTCCCCCACGACACACCCTCACGATAACGACAGAGACACACCAAACACCAACCATTGGCCCTGGATCCATCCACGCCCGGACGTTCCGGACAGGCCTACACAGCCGCCCCAACCCTTACCGTTCACAAGCTTTGCGTCTTAAATCGGGCAGACTCGACGAGATCCACCGTGTTTTCGGCCGAGGAAGTGAGGGCCATGTCTGGCGATTCTTCGTTACCTCTGCTAGTCCCCTCTTCCTCTTCTTTTGTTCTTCTCATCTAAGTACAAGTTGTGGCAACCTCGCTCAACGGATTGCCATTGGACTATCTTCGGCCCTTTCTGCAGCCTGCCGTTCAATTGTGACCCGACATTAACTGTACCTTGGTCGAGACTTGAGAACCTACGCCAATTCGGACCCGATGAACCATGGCTACGTGTTCCCCGACCGAGCCTGTCCCTGACACTCAGGCTTTGGACGCTCTGGACATTCAAGATGATGACTCGATCATCCGTAACCAGGATGAGGCTGAGGCTATCCTGCAACCAGCCCTGAGCGCAGTTGCCAGGCATTTGACTTCACAAAATACACCGACAATCGAAAAGGTCTTGGCATTGGACAAGAGTGGAGGAGCTCTGTTTGATGGAAACGGTGACACGAGTCCTGAGCTCCCATCTTCGCCTGAGACAACACCACAAATACCACAATCTATCCCTCCGCCCAGTTCCTCAAAGCAACTGCCGACGAGCCAGCCGTCAAGCTATCCTCTACCTTCACCGTGGCAATCCCAATCAAGACCATCCCCGGCCAAAGGATCATCAAACAGAGCGTCCGGGAGTGTCTTGGGAAGTGCTCTCAGCCCAGCCCGAAGTCGATCGAGATCGGCAGGACAAGAGGCATTGAGGAGGCTCCAGAAGGCCCTGCCCTCCCTCAGTCCGCCATCTCATTTGTTACCTTCTATGCCCACTTCTTTCTTCTCCAACTCCAGCGACAAGGTCAATACAGGCAATTGGAGTTTCCAGAGCCGCCTTCAATCACCTCGAAGTCCTCCCAACTCATCCCCTCTCTCGCAAACGAGACCAAGGCCTTCTCCGCAGCAGGGCCGGGGGTTGGCTCCGCCGACAGTGCCTCCATCGCGCCCTAAGGCTCTACGCCGAGTAACTTCTGATGATAGTCTCCTTTACCACAGCCTATCCCGAACTTCCTCTCTAGGCGACGATGAAAGCTTTCAGGATGTCCGCGAAATGGTCAATATTCGATTCATGGCGTTAAAGGACAGCCTTCCTGATGTGCCCAATTTCAAGATGCCCAGTCTTCCCAAGCTTTATAACCAAGCAAGAAGATCAACGCTGTCTCTCAGCGCAGTAGACTCTTCCGATGCTAATGGAACCCACGGTCGCCTTTCTAAAGAAACCAGCTCTTCCTCCAAAGATGGATCGGCCATTCTTGATCGGGTCTTGGAGAGCCTCACTGGTGATGTTGTCATCATGGGTGGTTATCGAGGATCCATTCTACGGTCAGCCGAGGCGCCTCACCAACAGGTCTGGGCACCTGTGAAGCTCGGCCTGAATATGCGAAAGGTCAACTTGGAAGTAGGCTTGGAAGATGAAGATGAGGAGAGGATGGAAGAAACTATCAAGCCTGATGGAATGCTGAAACACATTGGGCCCGTCGACATTTCTCGAAAGTTTATCAAGAAACTGCGCTCTTGCGATAACGCCAGAACAGGGAAGCTACGCATATGGGACTACGGTTACGACTGGAGACTAAGCCCGCCGTTGTTGTCTCGGAAGTTGCAAGAATACCTTCAAAAGTTGCCCTCGAATCGACCAGGAACCCCAATCGAGTCCCGAGGGGCCCTTGTTATCTCCCACAGCTTGGGTGGTCTCATAACACGACACGCCGTTAACCAGCGTCCGGATCTCTTCTCAGGGGTTTTATACTGCGGAACGCCACAACGGTGTATCAACATTCTGAACCCCCTGCGTCACGGCGATGTAGTGCTCCTGAACGAAAAGCTCCTCACCGCCAGCGTCAACTTCAGCATGAGAACTTCGTTTGTCTTCCTACCAGAGGACGGGTTCTGTTTTGTGAACAAGACAACTGGCGAAGAGTACCCAATCGACTTTTACGACCCTCAAGAATGGATCAAGTGGCATCTTAGCCCGTGTATGCAACCGGCTCTTCCTCCCTACAACCGCCCACACTCGTCGTCGCTGTCGTCCTTCCTCCCGAACTCGCTACGCACCCGCTCCGATAGCAAGAGCGAGAAGCAGCCCCCTTCTCCTTCGACAATTATCCGAGACCGCAACCCTATCGCACCCCAGCTCGACGGAAGCGGCGCCCATGTAGATGAACCTCTTCCCTCAGACCCCGAGCGCCAGCGCTACCTCGAATACTTGACCCGAACCCTTAAGATGATCCACAAGTTCCGTTCCGAGCTCGCACACTCGCCATCGCACCAGGAAGTCAACGCCTACCCTCCACACGCCGTGCTGTATGGCAAAAGCATACCCACCGTGTACGCTGCTCAGGTCACCAGCCGCGAGGCCATCCCCTGCTTGGACGCCTATGACGATCTCCTTTTCCGGCCAGGTGACGGTGTCGTTCTGGCCAAGGAGGCCATGCTCCCGGACGGCTACTCGGTCGTTCGCGGCGGTCGGGTCTGCACTGAACGTGGCCACATCACCATGCTCGGCGACTTGCCGGCCGTGGGGCGGGCCCTCGAGGCGCTGGTCAGGGGTCGTCGGAAGGGCATAGGGATGGGGGCAGGCGGTGATGGGGCCAACGAGGTGGTTAAGCAGCAGGTGCCGGCTGAGTCGGGGTAGCACAAGGCGGTGCGATGGATGTGCCCCCGCATGGAGATACGGCATAGGCGAGATGAGTGAGATGAGATGAGATGGGATGAGATCTACTAGCCCCCTTGCCGCTCTTTGAGTATGCGAGCAGGCATGAAGAATGAATGAATGAATGACAGAATGCGGAAGCAAAACCGGTATATCCGTTGTACATGCATTATCGGATCGGCGTCAGGTAGCCTCATAGCTCTGTAGCATAGCCTTTGTACAAGTATCTATCTTTACACAGTAGTGACATGTAGTCAGAAGGCAATCTCGCCAGTTGTCATGCTCCCAAACCTAGGCCAAATATCAAGAACTCCTAGAAACGCCTTGGGCCTCCTACACGGCCAGCCACTATGTTACAAGCCCTCTGCCATGGACTTCCCTCATGATGCAGCCCTAGCCAGGGCGAAAAATGCGTATTCGTTTTTTCGCGTCAAGATCGCGTTTGGTTGTTTGCGGGCCTGTTGCTCCCGTCTAGGATGGCCTCGTATGTACCTAGAGGCGGAGAAATGCTGATATTTTGGTATTAATAGCGAAGCCGTAGTTGGAGATGGCAATGAGATGCCATGATATGCGCATATCGTATGCGGGAACGACCGGCGATCCGCCTCTTCCTGGACGGGATGTCGTGTATGAGAGGGTATAAGTGCATGGCGCTGTCGCTCAATATCAAAAGGGGCGTTGGCCGAACAATGCGCAATAGCAGCGGCAGGCTCTTGTCCAAAATATGGTCAAGGGCAACGTCCTTGGAGTATGTGCCATGAAGAACGTCCAGTCCGTATGTGTCGGGCGCTCTGTATGAGTATGTGACTTATCTTGCACTGCACTCATTTCAGGCGGCGTCAATGGTCTGGTAAGGCTGCGGGAACGCGCTCAGCGGCAGAATCCTCCAGCAAGGCGGCTTCCAGCCAGGAGTTTGTTCGCAGAGCGTCGCGAGCGCAGTCTGAATCTGGCGGGCCATGCGAACGTAAACCATAGTAGGCTCGACATATGAGACAGAGTCGGGAGACTCTTCGGCGCGGGGCACGAATATTATCTCCTCGAGACCGGGCATGCGAGCCTGGATGCGACGGAGCAGCTCGACGGTGAGACTGGCAGCAGTCATGGAGCGGTAGGTAGTGTCAATCCAGAAGAGGGCGTCGTTGATGGCGAGACGACGAACGGCGGCGAGCTCAGCAGGGTCGCACATTGACATGCAAGTCTGGAACTGAGAGTCGGCGGCCATGTATCCATCGCGGGGACCAAAGTAGAGAATATCATATTGGGGGTTGAAAAAGACCTGACCGGGACCGCGGGCAAAGCCAAACTCAAGCTGGTAGTGCTTCAGGGCCTCGGCGCGAGACTCGGCGCAAGCGTGGAGGTTGGCGGGGATGGGCACGGGCGATGTGCACCCTGTCCATGAGAGCGAATCTGAGCAGCCGGGCCATGACGATCCGCATCTTACGGGGACGAGCCGTGTCTGGGGGAGGTTGTAGTTCCAAATCTTGAGTCGGAGTTCTGTGGGAAGCCTGCAGAAATATTGCTGCGTGAGAAAGGTCGAGGTTAGTATTGGTGTTGATGCGCCGGCGAGGTGAATGACTTACAAAGGCGTCGGCCGGTTGAGATGGAGGAAACGTTGTATTGAAAGACATGTTTGATGTGTCTTGGTTATGTTGCGCAACCGAGTATTAAGATGTGACGATGCCTGCGTCAATTGAAGCCCAAGCTGTAGTCGGTCGAGATGTAAGTCGTCGAGCGCAAATGCTGAAGAGTGCGGTATGGTATCGTGATGCTTGCCGTATGTAGGTATTGATAAGCCAAGTCGTGTGTGATGTACAATAACGCCAATATCAAAGGTACTCGGAGTCAAAGAACAAGTCGGACAAGATGAGGAGAGGTCGAGACAAGGAGGGGCAGACAGAGTAGAGCAGGGCTGACCGAGGATGCTGTACTAATATAATCAAATCAATCAAACAATGGACGGATGAGGGCGTGAATGACGATGGAGGGACTCGAGGGAGTGCTCAAGCATCGCTCACACTCACGCCCACGCCCATAACCATGACCTTGACCTTGACCTTGTCCCTGCTCATCCATGTCCACGCCTACCGTAGACTACCTACCCATGCCCATAACAACTTGACCCGTCCGTCGGCAAAGGCTCAAGGACGGACCCAAAAAAAAAAAAGTCCCCCCCCCCCCCTTTAGCCCCAAGCCCCCAAGCCAAAGCCCGACGGCCCCCCCAGTCCGGCCCAGCCCAGCCCCAGGCATGGATGTGTAAGTTGCCGGGGGAAGTACCCAGTTTGTCGTGTCGAGGGGTTCCAGACTCAATGACAACAGCTTTCGTCTGCCTGCCAGAAGGAATCAATCATAATATCGAGTGTGTGCGTGTGTGTGTCAATCCAGTCCGACGCAGTCCAGGTGCAGAGATTTCCCATGTCCTCCTCCTTCAGCCCCGACACCCTTGCTTCCATCAACCCTTGCCCGAGGCTGTCAGCTGGAAAGCCGCAATCCCACCCAACGCCAGGCACACCAGACACACACGAGAACCGACTGCTTGGGTCCGGAGAGCCGGGGGTCCAGGCGTGTTATCGCACTGTTAAACCGCTCTCAGCCTAGAACCGAACTCAAAGCCCAACGAGACCCTTGTTCATGTTCGTCTGTGGCTGACAACCCAACGCGCAAAAAGGCTTCTTCCCATGAGATGGGAATCGAATCTGAACTGAGGACCATAGTCCCTGGTGCCACCGGCTATTGGTCATGGATCATGGATCATGAACCAAGGGATGGTTTCTCTCCCCGTCGTGCCCCATCCCGAATGCATAGCAGCCACAGCCTTTGATAACTCCTGTCACTTACATAGTTATCCGCTTTGTGTCATGCCCCGTGTCTCGCTCGCTTGATCCGCGCCCGAGCCGAGCCCGCGGCGGGCCTCGAGGAGAACTGATCTTGTTGTGGACTGTGCGGGAGACCCCTCGGAGACCCTCGATTCAAACGAACCCTGGGGTGAGATGGGAAGAAACGACGACGACGAGGTTTCCGGAAACGTTTCTCTCTCATCAAGATGCTTTTTTCTTTCTCGTACGGATGTCAACGAGCCGAAGTATGCAGAAATGTGCATTTCTTGACCAATCGTCTTGTGTGTTCGCCCCAGCTCGTCTTGGCCTCTAAGATATCCCGCGAAGAAATGACATTTCTCCAAGGACAAGGGTCCTGGATCCCTGCCCTAGCTTCCCTATACCAGACCTGCTTATGAACGGTTCTCTTCGCCCTTGAATTGTCGATTCAACATGTTGTTGGTCAACATGAAGAAAAAGAAAAGAAAAAAATCTTTGCGTCCGCCCTTGTCGACCTTGGGCACATCGTACCCAGCTGGATGGCGCGGATGGCGCTGTCGCCGTTGATCCAAGTCTTTGGAGCTTCTCCTCGGGCTATAGTACGTATTGCCCATCGTGTGTCGTCATGTCTTTTACCCAACCCTCATACGCACATGATCTCACAGAGGATGCTATTCCGATCTGAATGCGACAGCTGTCTTGTCCCAATCTGGCTGTTTTGGCGCCTCGACACACCGAGGGGTGTATTGATCCGCAAATGGCTTTGCTTCCTTTGTTCTCGCCCTCTTCGCCTTCGCCGGTGCGGGACGTTTGACTGACGGGTATCCTATCCACATGCCGTTCCCAGCTCCAGGCCCAATTGTCAACTGTAAACCGTCATCTATTTGTCAACACTCAAGGACTCAACTCCAGCCATGCCAGTCGAAGCATCATCAATGGTCGGGGCCATTGAAGGACCGCAACAGCGGGCTAGGAGAACTCTATTCGTCCAGAGATCAAGAGGTGAGGCGAAAATCGCCATCAACCCGGGACGCATCCGTAATTAATATCCATTCACGTCCTGGTTGCAGACAGCTGCAGGACATCAAGATTGCATTAGGCCGCCTGTGGGAAGGGGTGTTCAACCACAAGGGGATTTGTTCCCCGTTTCCTCTCCTCTGCTTGTTGTCTCCGGTTGCTGCGCGCTGCGGACAGAGGCGCCAAATCCCCATAATTTGGCGCCTCCAAGTCATCCTGTTCTCGGTTTGGCCTGGAGCTAAAGGCAAGAGTCCGCGTTGAGAGAGGTGGGGCGCTGGAGGATTTGAGCATGGAGTTGATGAAAGCTGCATCTGATCTGCATGGAGCCTTCTTGGGTCTTTAATGTGTAACAGGTCGGGGCTCGTAGGGCCTCTCTTGATGCAGTGTTCGGTCGTTCTCAGTCCGCCAATGATTATCAGACTCGAGGTATCATGATCGGATCCAGTTGCCTTTGCTTGCTTATCCAAACACACATCAAAGTGCCGGTTCCATTGCCGGATGTAGGATTCCGAATCTTCAGCTCTGCATTGCCCCTGCTGCTGTGTCACGGATACCCTGAATTCCGATTACTGATCAGTAAACATCAACACCAAATTCTGGGTTCCTGGATGCTGCTCCTAGTTCATTGTCCATGTCCTTGTCCTTGTCCTTGTCCTGGTTGGTCTGGGCGTCTAACCACAACCGGCGAAGACACTAGCACCGTCGATCATCCGTGGCGCCTCACGACGAGCGACCTCTTTTCTCATCAACAAGCTCCAAAGCTCAGGCCAAGCTTGACCATCTTGGCACATGCCAAACGTCAAACTTGTGCCGACAACATCAACATCGGTGATGCCCGTTGATCATGTTTTGAGCGTAGCCATCGTGAAACAGTTGCTGGCATTTATCTGTGCTTTTTTCTGCGCTCAACTCCTCGATCCTTGCTGCTGCGCCGCATGACTGTGTCGGTAGTCTGTATAGAAATAGGTATTGTTAGACGGCCGCATCAATGTGCCCGGGTAGGGTTCATGCGACAAGCAAGGCTCCCAAAGGCAAGGCATGATGAGGATTGATACGCAGCAGAGGCAGCATCGTTATTAGCTGGCAAAAGCAAGCCGACAGGCCTCATCTCGGATACTTGCAGCATAACGACTCTTGGCTTGGGTGACAGGCCCCCTGTCCCGTAAAGAGGATTGTATCCGCAGAGCTGAAAGAAAGGACGTTGCATCGAGGATTGATTGATTCATTGATTGATTGCGATGCTCCTCTCCTTCGCTGGGAAAATATGCCCTGGCCGAAGATTTTCGGGGTCCACATTGTGGCTTCCCTTGAATTGAAAGAAGGGCCATGGGGCTTGATGGGCTTGCACCTTCCGCATCGGTTGTGTCACCCAAACTTTTTTTCCAAAGTCGCTCACGTGCATTGGCAATCAAGCTGCCAAGCTGTGGCTGCCACCTGTGGCTTGTCTTACCCGTACCGTGTCATGTGCTCTGCCATGTGACTATCGATTCCAAGGGTCCGCTTTCAACTTCAACTTGCAGAGGAGCCCATTTCGTGACGCTCCACTCACACAAGAAACCTCCTATGAAATGCAACTACGACGCTGTGGACGACCGTCGACGCCTTCAATGGACGGATTAACTCCAATGGCCGCTAGTTGGCCATCTCCCTGTTCCTCTTCGCAACGGACGCACATAGCCGCTCGCGCCAACGGTTGACAAGGACTGAAACAGTTGCCGGTGCCAACCATCTCGGGGGAGCTTGGGTGCCTCTCATTGGGCAATGTCTGCTCTAAGCGCCCACGGCAAATACCCTCACAATCGCTCCGACTGTGAACGATGATCACCCAGCCAATCCCGCAACACGATTCAATGCTAATCTCTCACATGAACGGAACGGGAGGTTGCAGTCAATTTAGGACGTACATACTGCCGATCAGCGCGCCTAGCCTGCGTTGCTCGCATGGGCGCTTCAGTGCTATCACCATGCTCTGCTTGATCCCATTGGTGTTGAGGACGTCATAGTGCTGGTGTTCATCGCTTAGAGAGCGCCGGCTCTTGTGAGAGAGCGGTAATTGATGGTTCCCCAGATGTGTATATATCTGTATCTGTGATCCCCACGAACTGACTCCTCCTCCGTCAAGAACTTAGCAGTCTCCCTGTGTTTACACCCCGGTTTCCTTTTCTTTCTCCTTCGTCTCCTTCTTGTCTCTTCCCTCGGGCGGGTCTCGGGTTTTCTTTTTCCTCGTCGTCTTGTTTCCAGCACCTTTCCTCAATCCGTCTCTCTAGTCGATCTAGTGACAATGGATCCTACCCTTAGCCACATCTCGACGGGCTCCAAGACGGAGATCTCAGCCGCCTCCAATTTCGATGCCGACATGGACGATGCCAAGTTCGAGTCCAAGTCTCGCATGTTCCGCCTGACCGACAGCGCCAGGCTGGGCCTGACAGTCCTTGGGCTCGCCGCCGGCATCACCATCCTGGGTGTCTCGGCAGACTCCATTGCGGTCTACAATGCTACGCATGTCCCCGGCGATTACCTGCTCCCCCTGTGGCCGGCCAACTTTGACCTGCGCCCTACGGTGGCCCTGGTGGTCTGCAGCGTCCTTATGATGGTGGCTAATGCCATCTCACTAGTCTCCAGCAAAGTCCCAACTGTAAGGCACCGATCCCCATCTGCTTGCTTTTTCGTCTCGGGACTAACGGTGGTGATGAAAAAAGATGCGCAACAAGACTGGGGTTGAAATGACTCTTGCATTCGGGCCGCCAATCGTGGCTCTTATCGCTGCAATCATTTCCATGTCCTTCTTTTACGCGGTAAACGCGTCCACGGAGGTTGATACCTTGCAAAGCTGGTCTTGCCGGTGGGAGAACATCGCAATGACGACGCAGCCCCATTTTGACACGCTCTGCAAGCAGAGTCGTGCTGGCGTGGCCCTCTCGGTGCTACTGGTGCCTGTCGAAGTCATAATCCTGGGGTTGGCGGCGTATCAATTCATGCTACGGAGACAGCTCGACCTGACCGCACGTGGGCCGGGACGCAAGGCGGGAAGCCCGGCGTTGTCTTAGAACTCTCGGGTACAGGTTCCAAAGGCCCGGGTCGAGGTCATCCATCACCTTGGCTGCCGGTGGCGTGTGCAGAATGAAAAGAGGGACTCTTTTGGAGAAGGGGGGAGGGGTGTGAGGGAATATGTGGAGGCCGGGGGTCGGTCTCGACTCTTGGGCTATTTTATGCTGCTTTATTGGCGTCCCTTAATAATTGACGAGACCTGCACGACCCGAACTTGAACTGCTTTCAGGATGAGTGAAATGCGAGATGTGATGTTGGCCAGGACACGGTGGATCTTGTAGGCTTCTGTTAATGGGCATGCTTGCGAGATCCATTGGCCCGCTTTCAAGGCATGAAGAGATAGAAACCCTCTTGTGCGTGTCATGATTGGCCGGAAAGGGTTACAGCGAGTTTGTTGACGCCGGAAATATTCACATTCATGGTGGGAGCACGTGGGTAAAAACCCGAAAATGCATTTGTCTGAGCTCACAGAAGGTTTGGTTCGGTGCAGAAGATGTGGCTGTATGGACACAGGCCTCAACTTTTGGTGCCCATTAAGCTTTAGATCCTTGCGTTGATCTCCAAGCTACTCGACATTCTAGTCCCGCCTGTAGATATCCATCTATTCTATTCTAGACGTCCAAGTAACTGTTTCTCTGGCGACAGCTTTTCAATTGTCCGGATCCGGTGACATCTTCACAGAATTTTGTATGCTCATCTTGATTCGCAACCCAAGCTGAAAGCTGACACATTCCCCAGCAAACGCAGACTGTGGCTCATTGCGATAAAACGACAGCTCATCTTTCCGGGCTTGACGGCTGGACTCATCACCTATCATCGCCACATCATCCACGATAGTCAACATGGCCTACGGTCATCATTGCCCCAAGACTCATACGCCTTCCGGCTACAAGTTCCCTTCTGATCGTATGCATGATGGTATCTGAGACTCTACAGACATTGAAGAGCTGACGCCAGTCACTAGGGCTCACAGAATGTCCAAAGGATCAAGTACCACTGGTGCTGTTGGCATGCGGCTCATGTCGGTCAACTTGTTCTTCTTATTCTTCCCCGTAGACTGACGGCTTTAGTTTCCCCAATCACCAAAGGCATGACTACCTACATATCTATTCCGTCCTATCCGGATGACAACCTAGCTAGTTAAATAGAGACAAGGCTAACATCCATTACAGCACATCTAGAGATGTTTGATAGTGCGCTATCACCAAACAAGATGTCACTCCTGGCAGTTGCTAATTCGTTGCCGTAGTAGCTCGAGACTATGCAACAACAGCGGGGAAGCCCATTCTTTCTGTCGCAATTAGTTCCTCACTACTAACGCCTCGTAGGATTCGGAGTCGTAGGAGGGGTTCTCAGTCCTGGTATGTTGCATGCTCCCCACGTGTAGACCCATTTGTCAACTAACGCCGTTCCTAGTATCTGACGGTTACAAGGTGCGTCTTAAATTGATGACCTTCGACTGCCGCGCTTAACTTTCTCATAGAAACAGGGGTTAGCTCCCGGTCATCATCGTGTCGAGATGTGCAGGCTCGCGGCAGAAGATGAGTATGATTGGCTAACAGTCGATCCCTGGGAGACTGAGAGTCCAACTACCATCCCAACTGCCCAAGTCCTAGATCATGTTGACTACGAGATCAACGATGTCATCGGGGGCATCGAGTGCGACGAGGGAACCAAGAGAAGTGCCAAAATCGTCCTCTTGGCCGGCCTCGATCTAGTTCAGACCATGTCCACGCCTGGCGTCTGGGAGAAGCGTGATCTTGACCATATTCTCGATAGATACGGCCTTTTCGCCTTGGAGCGCCGGGGAACTGAGACCGAACCGGCTCTGGCAAGCCTTGAGCAGTGGAGACAAAACATACACATCATTCACAAGGTATGTCTTTTGCAACAACATGTGCCATGGTTTTGGTGGCTGGACTTAGAAAGATGCAGCATGTCACCGAAGATATTAGCAGCACCAAGACCCGCTTGCTATTGAAGCAAGACGCGAGACCGGCCTGTACAAATGTCAAAAGGCTTGATCAACAGGAAAATGGGGATCGAAGTAGTCCGAGTCTGGATGACATGTTGGTTCAACGTCTGGACAACTCCGACTTGATCTGACGTTGTGCATAGGATCCCCAACAGCAAAGTCAGGGACTACATCGACAAACATAACCTATATCGCAGCTCCAGCCTCGACGGTCTGCAAGATAGATAGGCCCCGTTGATAAAGGGCTGTTCCCAAGCCTGCCAAGATAAAAGCTAAGCATTTAGACTCGACAGGGGGGGGGTGGATAATGGATGGCATAGAACATGACGGGGTCTCGACTCTTGAACTGACAAGGTCTAGGCCCATTGCCCTTCTTGACAGGTCATATTCCAGAATCTGTAGTCAACAAAATCCCAAAGTCCTGCGCGCTGACCTGCAAGCTGGGGGCCCGAGACAAGACAAGCAATGGAGCAAACAAAACAAATACACGCCTGAAACTTGACTCGGTCATGCCTAGCGCCGCCCACAAGACCCAAGCTCACGCCCGCGGAGCCACGCTGTGAGGCATTGCATTCCGACAGTCTGGATGCCCCTAATGAGTGCTTCGCATTCGGATGACGGAGATGACGTCCGCTTCCGATCAAGCAGAGATACTGTACGCCGAAGTGAATCAAAAACTAGGTGGCGAATATCGGTCGGTGTAGGGTAATCGGCCCCGAAATCTCGATGCCATTGCCGAGCCTGATTCCATACCCGTACGGGGAAGATTAACCACCGCCAGGAAAAAGAAAAGAGCACTTCGGCCCCAAGATCAAGCACCGGCTGCCACGAGGCATCTTTCAGATCCCAGTGGGTCAGGCCGCAATGCATTGTCGCCTGGAAGATGCCTGTACATGTAAGGATGTAGCATCCAATTTCTTTGTTGAGTGCGCTGGCGATTGATGCTACAATGAAACCCTACATCCATCGAGGGTAGACAGACGTGAACAATGCAAAGAAAGAAAGAGGTCGCTTGTTGCCGTAAAACACACACTGATTGCGTAACATGTCGGTTTCATGTTGAGATGAGGGAGGAGAAAACATAGGGAACCTGCAGAACCTGTAACATGAGAATGGCAACACGAAAAAAACGACGGCCCATACTCTGACCTCGCCCTCTTGGCACCTCCAGAAGAGACCAGAGACGGCGTCTAGGATGCTAACTCCCTCTGATTGCTCAAACGCCAAGTTACAGTGGCCGAGACAGATTGCTTCCATAGACGATATATCTGCTCGCACTGGCCGCCAACAATTTCAGACGTATCAGTCTCTTGTGACATGCAGCGGACCGTCCAACCCTGCTATGATGACATTATATGGCAGCACAAAAGCTGTACGTATTGCCATCCAATGGCCAGGTGTCAGGTCGAGCAACCTTCTTTTTCCCCTGAGCACTACTAGAGAGTCGACTTCATCCCATGAGCTACTATGATGCCCCCGATGCACCTTGCGCCGGTGATGAACATCCCTCATCACGCCAGAGGGGACTCGATACAGCCTGTGGATGCAAAGACACGGCAAGCCAAAGACCTCCCCAGGAGGCTGTCGAGTCCGAGACTCTCGGGGAGCGAGAGAAGAATCAAGCCGAGGTTGAGCAAGCCAAGTCTGGATCCTGTCATAGAGGGTGATCAACGGCCCACGAGAGATGTCCAGAGTCCGCCCCCTGGTGACATCACAAAGGTGACGAGAAAGTATTCCTTGCCCGAGTTCCCAAGACCACGGAGCGACTACTTCGAAGAAGCCTTTGCCGCTCTGAGCCCAGAAGATCAAGTACGAAACGAGTCGATTGTCCTGGCAGAGGTCAAGACCAACGTCATCGTAAGGGATCCCGTCTCTCTGTTCTCGAGATTACCTCTGACAGGAGTTTTGCAGGTTAATGACGAATACACCTTTGTCTCTGAACTCTCCGAGCATCTCGCGCTGAGATATCATCGACCAGTGTCTTCCATCGTGGTGACACTTCAACATGGAGCGTGTATCCTTTTCGGAGGGAGTTGCGATCCCGCATACATCATGACGGTTGAAGCACTGGCTTGCTACGCGCAGACGGCGACGAACAAGCGCAATAACGCTATGCTCCAAAGACACATGGAACAAGCCCTGGGGATCTCAGCGATGAGGGGGTTCTTGAGATTCGTCCCCGTTGCAGAGGAGTGCTCTGGGTGGAAAGGTAAGACTGTGGCGAGCGAGATTGCAGAGGTGATAGAGCAAGCTCAGGCACCGGTCGAGCATCGAGATTCTATAAAGGCCCCGAAACGCAGGTCAAGCAAGGTGAGTATCTCTTGAGATGTGGAACTGGCTAATTGTCAATGATCTAATGGTTGAGGATGCAGGCTTATCGAGACATGAAGGGTAGAGCAGCCACGATAGCAGGCGCCTCTACACCCCAGGCAATATCACGAAGTAGATCGATCGAGGAAGCTAGATCTAATAAGGTGACGCAAGACGAACCCGAGCCAGCTGAGGAGAAGTCGACAATGAAGCGGAGGAGGAGTTTCATGCAAGCACTGTTTCCCCGGTCGTCAAGTTTATTAAGGACGAAAGAGACAACCTGAGCAAAACAAGGGCATTCAAGGATAATACCCCATTGGAAAAACACACAAAGACAAGTCTAGATAATACTGGAAGTGTAATAGTTGAAGTAATGTAGCGAGTGTGTGTAGTCGCAGATTTAAGATGTTGGACTCTAGGGTAATAGACTCGATATGAGAAAAGGTCATGATTCGCCGAGGACGTCGTGACTTTACGCCGCCCGACGGGACGCTAATAGCGGGACAATAAGCCTCTAAAGCGCTGGGGCTGCATGAGGCCCGGTGCAGAGCTTCAGTGGGCTGCGGGGGCCGAGAGCGCCATTTATCACCTGAAGCTCGTGGCCCGGACCCCTCAATCATGCTATCGCTGGACCCAACTCACACAAGACACACAACCTGACTCTCATGAACATCCAACCTCTGCATATCTTGACGACGAGCCTCGCCGGCCATATACTAGGCGTCTCCAGTAGCCAACACCATCTCTTATATAGGACATCACCTCCGGAGTAACCATTTTGCGCCACCGCCCCCATCCCTTCGAACCAAGAAGCAATCAATCTCTTACATTGGATACGCCAGCCACTCAGCTCGCAGCAGCCTCCCTCCCCAGCCTCAGCCTCATCACATCCAGCATCAGCCTCGGGAGGTTTGGGCCACAGTACGCACCTCTTTGAACCTTTGGGCTCTTCAAGACAGTGATGGAGGTAAGATGAACTATTCGTGTTTAGTCTGCCCGTGTTTTTCAGCTTTCCCCGCCGCCTGTCACAGCAGCTGACAAGCCCTCCCCTGCCTGTTGCTCGAGTGGGCGACAGATAACCTTGGAGAGCTGGCTGGCTTGAGCCCTTGTGTGACCAGCAACGACGACATGCCAGTGCATCTCGGTCCTATCTAGCACACAGATCTGCCAGCCATAGCCTGTGCGCGGTCGTCGTCGGCAGCCACAATATGGGTGACTGCGGTGACCATGGCAGAAGCCTTGACGGGCTCGCTCGCACTGATTCGACATTGGCTCGCTTGGTCGGGCTGCGCCGTGGATGACCATGTGTAACCTCGAGCAAAGTGTACGCGTCCTGTACGGCTCGAGGCTTTTATATGAACAGTCTGTCGTGGCCCAAGGGGTACCCAGGGTTTTTGAGACCGGCAGCCTTTCCGCCTTCCCACTGGACCTCACGGCTGCGAGCCGCTGCCCGATGCCATCTTTCCCGCCCCCTTGCCCTGGGCGGTAGAGAAATCAAGGTTTCTGTCCGGAGCTGTGAGTTGTTCAATCAAGAAGGGAGGTGATGAGGTGTCTGTTCTGTCACCGACAGAAGCACCTGCCAGCTGTCAGCACCTGATGAAGAACAGGGACGAAAAAGAGATGGAGCTGCACCTTTGTTTTGAGCAAGTGAACAAAATCTATCGATGCTCGCTTTGCAGTGAGATGAGCAGTGCTCTTCCACCTAGCTCTTGACCCTTCAATCCGCAACACTATCTATCAGCCTTGAACCCCCCGTGCTTATATACCCCTACCCCTTCAACCATGTCTCTCAGCCCTCCTATCCAAAACCTCACCCTCTCAGATGAAGCAGACGATACAGGAAGCAGTCCAGCCCAGCTAAATCTCCAACGTCTCTATGAACAGTCTCGCAGAGGAGCCCCGGCATCCTCCAAGGATGCACAGAAGCCCTCAACCCCCGGCCCCAATGCCGGCCCTGCCGCCAAGGGCAAGCCCCGGTTACTTCTCATGGGCCAGCGAAGGTACGTTGTGATGCTGAAACACGAAGATGAGTTTCTCGATTGTTGACAATACGCTATAGGAGTGGAAAGTCGTCCATCTCGAGCGTAGTCTTTCACAAGCTGCCACCAAATGAGACCTTATTCCTTGAGTCGACGGCTCGTATCCAAAAGGATTCCATGGCGTGAGTTGCCCACATCTTACACACATCCTTCACCGACTAAACCATACCCCTCCAGATCGTTCATGGACTTTCAGGTCTGGGATTTCCCTGGTCAGATCGACGTCTTTGAGAACCCCGGCTTTGATATCGAGGCCATCTTTAGTGAGATTGGCGCCCTTATCTGGGTCATCGACGCTCAGGACGACTATCTCGAGGCCGTCATGCGCCTCAACACCACCATTCTCTTCCTTCAACGCACGTACCCCAACATCAATATCGAGGTCTTTATCCACAAGGTCGATGGCCTCTCGGACGACTACAAGCTCGATATTCAGCGCGACATCACCATCCGTATCCAGGACGAGCTCTCGGACCATGGCTTTGAGAACGCCCCCGTTACCTTCCACCTCACCTCCATCTACAACCACTCCATCTTTGAGGCCTTCAGCAAGGTCATCCAGAAGCTCATTCCCCGTCTGGGAACCCTCGAGTCCATGCTCACTAACCTCTGCCGCACGTGCCGCTTCGAAAAGGCATACCTGTTCGATGTTCTTTCCAAGATCTACATTGCTACCGACAGCGCCACTGCCGATATGGCTAGCTATGAGATCTGCAGTGACTACATTGACGTCATCATCGACATCACAGAGGTCTACGGCACTTGGCAGCGCAGCGACGACGGCCGCCGCCGCCTTGAGGGTGAACCCTGGAGCGCCCCGATCGAGAGCCAGGTTGGCTGCCCTACCGCTGAGAGCTGCCTCGTCCTGCACGACGGCAACAAGCCCATCATGCTGCGCGAGGTCGACCGCTACCTGGCACTCGTCGCCATCATGAAGGAGGACTCGTACGACAGCATGCCCCTGGTCAACATGAACGTCGAGGCTGTCGTCGAGGGCCTGACAGAGTTCTTTGACATCACCAAGCCGCGGCAGTGAAATGGGTGGATGTTCTAGCTATTTATCAATGGACCTCGGATCAAAAGTCGACACTGGCCGTGCTTCCTTTCTATCTTGTAAATTAGTTTATGCTAGCGTACTGTCAAGATTTGCTTCTGCAACATTTCCGTTTCAACCTCAACCCTCCGTTTCATCAGAATGCTGAGCCATACCCAATGCCTTAGTGTGTATCTTTAGCAATTCTGCTCAAGCTGGAGGGCTCGGAAGTGAAAATGTCTTGAGCACAGTTCGATTGCTCTCTAACAAACAAATCCTCGCTGGCATTTCTCCCCTCGCTTCGTTCCTGTCAAAAGCCTCCATGCGTAGTGGCTTGAGCACCGAATTTTCAGGGAAGGAATACGTTGTGAGGTCATCGGCCGACACACGAGAGGTCTCAGTCTGATTCTCGGCATCATATGTGCTGTACGGAAGCTTGTCTGGCTGGACAGGCACACTGACAACATGGTGCTTATTGTCTGCATTCAACGTTAGCATGCCATTGAACACCCCGTTTGGACAAGATGCAGGAACTCACCTTGGTCATTACAAAGAATGACAAGAGTTTCATCGTTGAGGAATTTGAAATCGATCAAAGTACGAGAGCCGAGATCAATACAACAACTCGTTGGAGACTGGTTGGTGCTGATGCCGTTGATGATGTCGATTCCAGCGCAGAAGATGTGTACTTGTGTTTGTCAGAATTCATCGTACCAAGAACGGTGTTGATTATGTGCTTACTCTGACTCTTTGTCTCCTTGGACGTCAATGCTATCATGACCCTCACGTCCTAGAATAATAGTAAGTAAGAGTATACCTAGTTATAGCTTTGTATGACCATACCTGAGTCTTTGTCTTGCACATCCTCATGTCAATCTGCGAGATGGGATGCCCGATAGATAGTTTGATAGGTTTGCCAAGCCGAACGCTTTGCCTCTTTGCTTCTGCAATGCCATCGAAGATGCGAGTCGCCCACGTTGTTGCAAATGCAACAAGGAACTCAACATGTGGCAAGGCCTTCATGCTGGGCTCTCCCCTCTCAATCTTCGTCAGCTGCTTGTCAAGCACATCGAGCAGGCTTGGCACATCCTCTATCTGCGCCCAATCTGCTTCGTAGTCCTCTTTCTGTATGTCATCAAAGAAGACCTTCAGGGAACTATCCGTCAGGTAATTCTGAATATACGCGAGGACCTTTTCTGTATCCATAGTCGCCTCCTTCTCCGTGAGCTCCTCGCTTACTGAGCTGGACGAGGCAAGGCGGTCGATCTGGAAGCGAAGCCATGTCGAAAACGTCTTGAAACTGTCGAGTTCATCCATGACGTAGATTAGAATCTTGTGGCCTATCAAGTTAAGACTGCCAATGACATCCATCAAACGGCTAATTTGCGTTGCTGAGAAACCGATATCGTCTCGGGCGTCGTGAAACTGGGCCAGACCTCGTAGTCTGCTGAGGATGATCCCGCAGCGGTCTAGGGCAGGTAGGAAGTTCTCATGTACGAGGCTTCGAAGGTTTTCCAGACCTGACATTACTGCCTTGTCCCAGCGTTTATGGCCCTATACTGATTAGCTAGTATACTCTGCCAGTTTATCAAGGACTACTTACCCGCTCAGCGAGACTCTCAACCAGCCATTCACGGACAGGTTCATATGCGTGTCCCGTCATGGCCAAGTGATACAGAGCTGGGACAATACTTCGAGGGCCGGTCTCGAGGTTCTCAAGATCTCCTTCAATGCTTCTCAAGAACCTTGTTGGAAGCTCTCGTGTATTCTTCCACTCGACTTGCAGGTGAAGTTGTGTTTGCTTGAGATATCTCAAAAGCTTTTGCAGAGTTGTCAACTTGGATGCCAGAAGCGAGAGATTTATGGGTGAAGATGAGATGAACGGCAAATCCATCGGAACAAAGTGCACTTCCTCTGCATCAACCGGCTTCTCTGCGAGGAGCAAAGCTTGAGTCGAAACCTGTGGATGTGAGGCATGGAGAACCAACTGCGGGTTTGGCGAGGGACCAAGCGTTGGGCACAGAAAGCTACCGATGATGAAGGAGTCGTAGATGCTGAGTTGAAGCTTTCCATCGCTGCTCCCGATGATCATGATGTTGACCTTGTCATATTCCTCTGGCTTCGGGCTTCGGAAGAGGAAGTCTATGCCTGATCGCAAAGTGAAGACCATGGCATCCTCGCTAAAGGTACATTAGCATGCATTATGTTGATCGAGAGAAGGAAACAACATACCCTGCCCCAGCACTACCACTTGGCAGAGGGCTGAGCTTGGGCAAAGCTGTATCGATCTCCAAAAAGGTCAGCTCCCGTGGTAGGTCTTGCGGGAGCCCGTCTTCGCCGAAGGAGTGGTCTTTTTCCAAGCCATTCTTGAGAGCTCGAGATACAGCACTGGAGCTCTTGTCGGTGATGCTGTTGCTCGACCAGCCAATGTGGGTGATCTTGTTTCCTGGTCCTTCACCCACTTTGATGTGGTGGGCAGCTTTGTTGTTCTCCAAGCCCATCAGCCGCACAAAACCATCGCTCCATCCAACTGCAAGGAACTGGCCTATTTGAAGAGTTAGTGATACTGTCGATCTAGTATTTCTACGTCACTAGGGCAGAGTCGACTCACCATCAGATCTCCACGTTACGGCCTGCGCCTCTGGGGCTTTCTCGCCAGGCGCGCCAACCTGGTGGATTTTGGACACAACCTGGCTGGGCGGCCTGTAAACAAGGAGATTCCTGCCTGCCGCATCCCAAGTCGCCGACAGATCAAGAGTCGGGCAGCTCACGGGATAATCGTTAGGCACCCTGTCTTGATACTCGGTCTCGCTAAACAGCGCGAGCTGGATTTCTTGAGCCATGGCTTCTACCGCTCCGGTCTAGAGCACGGATCAAATGTCGATGGATATACCATATCCGTGGCTGAATCGCGAATAGATATCGTGAGTGCCTGAGATGGCTTGGATGTTGTGTAAGTTGAAAATTACCCAGGAGGCGTCAAAGGATGGGTCAGTAGACGTACTGTGCGGAATTACCAACGACACTGTACACGACACCCTCACAGTTGGCCAAACAATTGAAGGGCAAGAATTTAACTGGAACAAGGCTCATGAATGCAAATCATAACATAGTCAAACTTGAACGGCATCACCAAAACACGTAAATGATCCATATTGTCGTTGCGCCATTAGGTTCTAAGCCCCCGGGACACTCCTGATACCTGTCACTACTCCTACTTTCAAGACATAAGCCTGCCACTTTAAAGACCGGCCTCAAGCTGGGCCTTTTCCCAAAGATAAACGACTTTTGGGCACTATCTACTCAATCAAAAAGTTGTCTGCGTGACACTTGATCTCCTTGGAGAACGTCACCTCCTCATCCTCTTCCAGAAGGGATGCGGTAATCACCTGTTTGCCGTTGTTAGCACTGCCTCGAGCTTTACGAACCAAGTAAAGACAACTTACATCAACATCAATGAATGGCGAGGATTTGTTGAACCGCACTGTCATGGGGAAGAAGTCGTTCTCATCGCTGGACTCTGCCTCAAACTCGAACGATCCGCTGGGGTTCTCCTCATCTACATTGCCGATTGTCCACTCGACAGCATCACCTGAGACATCATATGTGGCATCGAAGCTAGAGACGGTGGGCTCACTTCCAGAGTAGGGGATGACCACGTTGACGTCAGTCAGAGCATCGCTGCCTGTCAGCTCGTACTCGACCGTCATGTTGTACTTGTGTGCCTCCTTGTTAATCCAGACGGTGAAGGTGATGGGGCAGGCACTGGCGTCGTCCACCTTGGGGGAAGCCCTCCATCGCAGAACACCAACAGCGTTGTTGACGGGGAAGCCCCTGGCAGTGTTGCTCATCTGAATGACCTTGGAGCCATTGAACAGATTTCGGTCGACGTTGGGGTGGGTGCGGAACTGGGCTCCGTGTGATGGAACAGCGTGGAGACCAAGCTTGATCTTTGTCAAGCTGGGATCCGAGATTCGAAGAGTAAGATCGCCGCTGATGGATAGCGAGTTGACGGCACCTTCACGAGACAACTTGGCCGAGATGGCCTCCGAAACCGTGATGTGGATAGCATCACGATCAAGCGTCGACGAGAGGCGAGGCTCGGGGGTCTCAACGTGGTGTGCGGGCGCCGGTGTAACAAGGGGCGAATCGTCAATTTCGCCGCCCATATCGCCTCGTACTCGCTCGAACATATCGGTCGTCTTGGACTTCTTGCCCAACTGCATACCCTTGGCCTTAGGGGCGAGGGGCCTAGATCTTGTTAGTGACGATCGGTTGTCGGTAATCTGGCAATACGTACTTGCTGAACGACTTGTTCTTCTCGGCCTCGTATGAGTCGTAGGTATTGGCAGCGCTCGATTGCGAAGTAGAGGTGTACGAGGGGTAGACGGGAGTTCGAGGCATGCCACTACCACCACCCATGCCACCACCCATACCACCACTACGACCGCTGCGAGCGGCATCCTTGCGCTGCATCTCGAGCTGCTTCGCCTTTCGTTTCCGCTCCTCGGTGGCTTCCAATTCCTTGTTCTAAAGAGGTATAAGCATACTGAAACCAGAAAAGGAGGCGCCAGAGATCCAGAGGGAGCTGGAGGTTTGCTTACCCGTGCAATGATCTCCTGGATCCGCTCCTCATGACTCTCCATATCAAGGAAGGTCTTGATCTGACTAATGGTCAAGTTCTCGCGGTATCCCAGAGTGACGAGTTCGTCAAAGGCGCTGAGAAGCTCGTAGGCATTCTTGACGATTTCCCGCTCATCGAGGCTCTTGCATGTGCTGGTGACGACCTGGGCGAACAGATGAAGGGAGTCGATGTCCTGGAGGATGTTGGACTGACGGTTGGTGATGAGCACCATGTAAAGCTCGTCGAGGGGCTGGTAGACGAAGCGGACATTGTCCTGCTCGACGGTGGTGTGCTGGGTGCCGCTGTCGGCGAGCTTGGGGAACGAGGCAAGGAGGGCTTCTATGCGCGATCGTGGCATCTCTCGGAACTGTCGAGAGAGGACAGCTTTCCCTCCGCGGGTGCAAATCGAAGCCGCGAGGACGACCTAGAGGGAATCAGCAAGCGGGGCAGGAGACGACCAGAGGTACAGGCGATGCGCACCATCTTGACTGGCTAATTCGAGTATGTTTCGGTGGTTGCGATGCAAGATGGATGTTGTTGCGTTTGGCCAGTCCAACTTGTTCGTCTCCCCTGGACAGCTGGAGCGGGCCAATATTCCAGTCGGTGGGAGGTCAAGGTACGTACCTCTCTTACGGCCACCTGGAAGGTGGGCAGGAGCTGCCACTGGTCCTTCCTTCACAAGTCTGCTACCCCACGCTAAGCCGCAATGGGTAAGCGTCAGCCTCCTAGACGTCCAGTCAGCCTCTCCAGGGGGTCCACATGCACTGCAGTCACGGACGGCACTCGTGAATGCCTGCCTGCATCAAACTCTCAACAGCCTCTCTCTATTCTCTGGTCTTCAACCATCTTCATTCTTCTCCCAATAACAGCTTTGAGGACCAAGCGTAAACGAAGCCGCACGCGTGCCCGTTTTCTCGACAGCATTCATCCCCCCGAAGTCAAATGTCGCGTACTATCCTGAGCTCCGTTTCTATTCACACAGCTCGGCTTCCCTCAACACTTTGATTCAAGCCATCGCGTTTGCCGCTTCGAAACGGTTTAAGAACTCGACGTTGACGCACAGTCGCCTTATTTTCGCCATCCAAGTCATCAGAAAGAAACATTTACCTTCCCGGGTCCTTCACCGAACCTACTTGGAACCCCACCACATTCGCTTTATCCCCCCGAGCACACGGGCTCTCATCTGCCTGGTGATCCAAACATGACGGAAATCGAGATGGATATTGATATGGCAAAACCTGGCGGCCTGGGAGGCCATGTGGACGACGACATTATCGACTTTGACACGGATATGCTTGATCAGCACGACCAGGAACCCGAGAATCAAGATGTCAACACGGAAGCTATGGACCGGGACATGCAGGAGGATATCGATACTGCGAACCAAGAAGCCTACCAAACAAATGGATACGTGAGTGAAGACGTCGATTTCGATTTGCACGACGTTGAGGAGACGGCACACGATTTGGAACAAGATGTGGGCGAGACGACGGTGCCCCAGAAGGACGGATCAGAAAACCAGGCGGCGACATCCACAGGAAGCGCGCAAGAAGTTGTTGATCACGTCGAGATCTCGGACGAGGCAGGCAACCAGAACCAGGATGTCCAAGATGACCACGCATCTGCACACGAGATTGACTATGAGGTTGAAGATGATGCGGAGCAACAGGAGTCACAAGAAGAGTTGCACCAAAAGTCGCAGAATGAGTCCCCAAAAGAGCCGCACGAGGGTGTGAATGCATATCGCGTGGAAGCATCTGACGCAGATGCCGCCGCTGGCGACGCTGTAGACGATGCCCACCACTCCGAAGATGTTACTGAGGCACATGAGCAAGAGGGTCAGACTGAACCTGCGGATCAGGCAAGAGGGCAAGAAACTACCCAAAATGACGACGAGAAACGCGAGCAAGAAACAGCTCCCGAAAACCACGAGGCAGTCGCTCTCGGTAGTGCCGAAGATGCGGCTGCTGACAATATTGAGGAAGCTGACTATGAAGATGGAGATCAATACAATGACGAGCACTCGGCCGACCATGGAGAGGCCACAACGCATGTAGCCGAGGCGGATCATGACGACGCTGAACATGCCGAAGATGTTGAACACACCACCTACGATGAAGCTGAAGTTGATGTGGATGAGCACCCCGAAGGTGAAACAGCTGATCTTGAGCATGATAACCATTCGACCACTGGAGACGGCTCGGCTGCAAAGCCAGAAATCGAATTTCCTACTATCACAGTGCAGTATAAAGGAGATGAATTCCCCCTATTCTCGGCTACCTCGGACGGTTTTTTCACCGACACATCCATTCTTGATGAGACACTTGAGAAACTTTTGGCTGGGCTCCGAAGTGAACTGGAAAATGAGATTACCGAGGAAGATGAGTTGGTATTTCAGGTCGATGAGCTTGGCCTTGAACTTGCCGAGGTAAGAATGTCTTGAGCTTGATAAGGAAGATGTGCTAACAAGAGGAAACAGTCAACCCAGGGTGAACTCATGACAAATGTGACGTTCCGCCAGATCATCGAGATCTTTGATCTCCTGGTCAAGAATCAGGATCCGGACGGATCAAAAACGCTGTACACCTACCTGTTCACCAAGCCCAACACAGAGAGGCGTCTTGAGTCTTTGATCGAAAGCGCCACCGCAGGCAAAGGCCTCGACGAGGTTATACATCTCTTCGAGTCGCCCATGCCAGCTGCTTCCACCCTCATGGAAGCTGACAATGCAGTTGATGGCCTCCATGAGGAATTGGATGGCTTCGATAGCCCGGAGGACGAGGGGCAACCAGACGAGGGGGAAACCGCAGAACATGACGAAGAGAACTCAAGGGAAGCTGGCCTGGATACTGATGTCGAGGTACCGACTGCACACGGCGACGCAGAAGTCGAGAACGACAATGACGATGTTACTACCGAGCCCACCACCCAACCCCCTGCCAATGCCGGGACCCATGACGAAACAGTCACAGAAACCAGCCATCATCCTGATGCGGTTGCGGAGGATGAGAACTCGGAGCAAAACGGTAAAGCGACCTCACCCTCTGCCAGTTCCTTTTACTGTTATTACCCTGGTTTCTGCCTTTGCGCCCCCTGTGTTGCAGAATTTGTTGAAGATCACGAGCGTGAAGAGGCGGAATATCGCCAGGGTCTAGGACTCCAACAAAAGGCCAAGCACAACTTGATAAGATTCGAGAGGCCATTTCTCGACTATGGCCGCAAGAAGCATACCCATTCGCACTCCGATTTTAGCATCACTTTTTCGTATCAAGACACTGACGAATTCTTTCCAGCACCCGTTGACAGTGAAACCGACCCATTCGCGGACTTGGAGCTGGATGTTGGCGCCGAGGATGACGATGAGGTGGATTTAGGAGATGATGCAGCGACCCAAGAGCAAGTTGCTGTTGAGTTGGAAACTGCTCATGCAGGAACCAACGACACTAGCACTACAGCGACCCTCAAGGATGATGAAGACGAGACAGGCTCTATCAACGTCGATCTCAGCGCAGATGCGACTGAAGAAGGGACAGTCGAGAAGACTGGACTCAACGAAGAGAACGACCTGGACGAAATTGATTGGAGAGACGAGCCTGAGGTAGTTGACGAAGGACCCAGCACTCCTTCTGCCGCTGGTAAGCGAGCACGAGGAGATGACGACGAGGTTGATGCGGAAGATGAACAAGGTACGGATGAAGAAAGAAACCCCCCAATGATGATCCTGGCTAACATTGTATAGACGTCAAGCGTCGTCGACCTTAAACCATGTTGTCCGCACGCTAACAATAACCGACTCAACCCACACACGCTTGTTCTCAACTGTACTAGAAGCGACAACTGCCGACGATGTATCGAGGAGGATAGCTGCTAGCTTGGCGGTCTAATCGCCAACTCTTGATGCAAGCAGCTTGGCCTCTTTCTGGTGGTAAGAAACACGACTTTCTCTAACAACACACAATGGACCGATTCCATGGAAACCCTAACGGTCGCTCAATGGGTTCAAGGTAGGTGCGAGTTTCACAGCAACTAACCTGACAGGATGGTTTGATCGGATGCACACGACTGCACGCCTTTGGACCATGACCCCCTTTCGCCATCGACAGCATGGCGATTTGTTTTTCTTGATTCTATACCCATCTACGATGATGGGTTTCGTCGATACCCCTTCTTCTTCCCCTTCCCCTTTCCGAATTAGTAGTTCAGCAAAATAACAGGCGAGTCTGGCCGGTAAGAGACAACGGATAGTTTGGTCTTGTACGATACGGTTCACGGGATGGAATGGGGCGTTGGTGGCTGGGCTGGAGACAAAACTCTACGGAAGCTACGGATATTCTGTTGGAGGCTGCTGTGGGTGGCCAAGGGCTGGTTGGGATGGGCAGCGTTCCTGTTGCGGATCTAACTTGTAGATGGGACTTGCAGGAGCACAACCCTGTGTTTCTAACTACTTCCTTTCTATATAGGCTGATCTTGAGGAGGATGTTCTGGGTTTTGGAAGCCATCAATTTGAGCAAGTAGCCAACAGTCATGGAAAGGAGGGGAGTGAGATCCAATACCGAGGATCCCGCCCCTTGCTTTTGACATCTAATTGATTTACCTTGACTAGCAATACCCCTGAAGGACTTGCCTTTTGGTAGATGTGAACAAATGGATGTCTAAGATGGGAATCTGGATCAATCTCCTATCTGCACAGGCTGTACTCCGTAACGAGGCAGCAAAAAGCTTGGCTGTAAGACATGGGTAGCAGTTCTTCTGACAGCAGACAGGGGTCGCGGGTGACGACTGATAGATCGGTCCTGATTGAGGTGACCCTCGACTAGGATGCTTCCAGCCCAGCACTCGGAAGACAAAGAGACAAGGCCATGGATGCTCCCAGTGTGGCTGACGTTGAGGCTGACTGGTTTGCTGACAGTGGAGGCTGGGCGTCTATAGAAGCAGCCTCCTCCATCTGGAAAGTGGTTGGAAGTGTGCTGACGCTGGGGAGGAATGGAGTCAATTGCGACAAGGCATGGGTTCAAGAGTGAGCACTGTTACGTATGTGGTATCCAGTCGTCCGGATGTACACATCGAGCCTTTGGTGTCTCGAAGGGAGGTCTTGGAAGGGAAGGGTCCCCGGTCTTAAGCGCTAGCCGCGTCGATCAGGGACAAGATGAAGATAGCTGGCCTCAAGCCAACCTCAGCGCCATCACGTGCTTGCCTGAAAACTGCCAGTTTGCATACAGCAATGCCCAGTTTTGAGGTTATTCATGATTAAGAGAATTCGGTTGAGGTGGCGTTGTGAGGCGTTCTCGATCGTCTTGGTGCTTTTCAATAGCTTGCTGTAAGTGATGGAGCTGAGAGCGGCACCACCGAGTTACGGTTGCTAAAAAAAAGTCTGCTGGAAAAAAAGTAAGCTGCCCACTGAGAAACACCCGTGTTGGATTTGCTCCTGGGGCTGCTGCTGACGCGGACACGAGGACAGTTTTCAGCGGGCCATAGCGAGAATGTAGGCTTGGGGGGCAAATGGGAAAAGGTGTGGCGGTGCTGTTCGGCAAGGGCCTAGTAAGAGAGAGAAAAGAGATAGAGACAAAGAGGGAGCTTCCAAAGGCTTGTCAAGAAAGCAAGGGGGATGGAAAGAAAGATGAGTTGGATGCCAAGGGATGAGCCCCCTTGAATGAAACGCCAAAGGGAGCTAAGTCATATATAAAGGACAAACTGCCTGACGACGCGTCAAGGCCAATTTCATGAGAGATGGCAGCTGTCTGGTCGATTAGATGCCCAGGTAGTTAAAGCGTCTGCCTGGAGATGAGTTGAAGTAAATGGCGTGTCTGTGATAAAGCAACCTGAAGGTGGATTTTGAGTGTGATTCTCCTGCATCGAGCGTCTGATGTACAAGTTTTTTTCTTGCGTGTGTCGACATTAGTTCAGGGGCGAGGATGGACCACCCGCTCCCTCGATTGAGGATCCTATCCTGTCTGAGCTGAGCCTCGGCCTCGGAAGCCCGCAATCTTGAAGAGTCCGGGAGGAAGCGTGTGTGTGATGGATGATCTTGGAAGGTGACGAACGATTGGCTGATGATGATGATAATTATGTAGCATCCAAGTTGATTGCGTTGGGCATTTACGTGTCTGCGTCTGCGTCTGCGTCTGCACGAGGTTTCATGTCAAGGCGTTTGGTGTTTCCTACTCCCATTTGGCACCTTCTCTTTGTCATGAATCATGCCTGAGGCTGGCCATGTATCAGTCAAGCCCACCTGCACCTGCACCACCAAGAACACCTGCCCATGGAAAGAGCAGTTGGAACTGGGCCTGCCCTCCTCTGGGAGAAAAAAAAAAAACCAGGGTCCACCGCATCAACCCGGCTCCACCCTCACAGCTGGCGGGTCCCCTAACGCCAGGGACGCCAGGGGGCCGTGTTCCACCCATCGCTGGCGCCCTCTGAAACTTGAGGTCGGGTCCAGTGGTGGTGAACTTTGATCCCCCCAGCCTTGGAAGTAGGGACGGTACTTGCGAGACCACTGAGAGGTGCCCTATAACTCACTGTCTTCGATGTACCTCGACCCCCCAGGACCCAACCTCTCACACTTCATGTCCCACACACCACTCTCCATTTCTTGGGCTTTACTGGCCCGGCCGTGATTTTTGCCCTTGTCAGGCTCTGTCTGCTCTGCCTCTCTGGCCAAGGTCGCTAGCTTGAGAGAGTGTCCTGTCCGTCCAGCTGCCTCCCGCCTCGTGTTTCTTTTCCTTCAGGCCCCCCTGGTCTGGTCTGGCTCCTCCCCCGAACCTTCTCCCACACGAACACGCCAACCCAACATCCACCATCAGCAAACCTACCTATCTTCGATAAACCAGCCAAGCTGTCCCTTTTCTCACTCCCCCTGCCTTTTCCGATTATTACTGCTTGCCGCTGCGCATCACGAGCTTCTTTCGTTTGGCTTGCACTAGACGACATTGACGATTCCTCCTTCGACGAGAATTTACGAACTTGACCACGAGTCGACGAGACACGTCAATCGATCCATCCCCCCCGTCGTCGCAAAGAGACCAGTTGCATTAGACAACAACCCCCTCCACTGGTCTTCGACTCTTTGACCTACAACCACCGAGTTACCGACGACCACGACCAACAATCAATCACCGACGAGTCAAACAATCCTCTTGATGCCTCTGCAATAAAACTCGGCCTTGTTCTGTGTCGCCTCTCGTTTCAACACTCGTTTCTGTCCTCAACCGGCCTTCTCGCCCGGTGCGAGCTATCGCCGACCTTTAACGATCCTTCTCGTTCGCCTTTTCCGGCCCGGCGCACTACGTCCAGGCCTCCTCCCAGCCGTTATTCTAGGCGCATTCGGGAATATTTGCGGTTGACCGTCTCTGCGCACTTGTCGCTGTTGTGCGCTCGCTATACATCATGCTTGAGGACAAGTACGTCGCGTCCCGCCTTCGTGGCCTTGCTCCCTTGAGATCACGTTTGTTCGGGCCTTTGTTATAGCCCGACTTTCCTACACCGATTCCAATGCTGACATGGTCTCACCAGGTATATCGGTCTGGCTCTTGCCATGGCCTCGGCTCTTGCCATTGGTGAGTGAACTCTTGAATGTGATCTTGGGCGCGCCGCAGCTAACAGTCGCCAGGAACAAGTTTTGTTATTACAAAAAAGGTCCGTCTACCGGCTACCGCATCCGAACGCGCCCACCAATCTCCATATTACTCGACACAATCTTGGACGCTTTCTGCTCGACGGCGTGCTGACCAGGCATTAGGGATTGAATCAAGCGGAAGAACGACATGGTTTTGAGGGCGATGGATACGTATATCTGCGTAATCCCCTGTGGTGGGCTGGTATTGCGACTCGTAAGTGTCTCCGTTTTGCGTCGAGGCTGACGGCTGTGCTGACCGAACATTAGTTGGTCTTGGAGAAGTCTGCAACTTTGCCGCATACGCTTTCGCCCCAGCTATTCTCGTCACCCCTCTTGGAGCTCTGAGTGTGCTCATCGGTGCCGTCCTTGGATCTTACTTCCTCAACGAGGAGCTGGGAACACTGGGCAAGCTCGGCAGCGCCATCTGCTTGATTGGAGCAGTTGTTATCGTCCTGCATGCACCTCCAGACGAGGACATTCAGACGATTGACCAAATTCTGCACTATGCTATCCAGCCTGGTGAGTAAATTACAGGGGGAACTTGGGGTGGACTACAAAACTGACATGCCTAGGCTTCCTTCTCTACGCCATCGCTGTTGTCGCATTCGCCGTCTTTATGATCTACAAGATTGCCCCCGTCTACGGCAGGAGGAACGCCCTCATCTACCTCTCTATCTGCTCTACCGTCGGATCGATCTCCGTCATGTCCGTCAAGGCTTTCGGTATTGCTCTGAAGCTTACCTTTGCTGGTCACAACCAGTTCACCCACCCTTCGACCTACGTCTTCATGATCCTCACAGCCGTCTGCATTTTGACCCAGATGAACTACTTCAACAAGGCCTTGGCTTGCTTCCCCACCAATATGTAAGTGAAAACTCTATACATAATGTGAACTCTACTGACGGGCATGCCAGCGTGAACCCTCTTTACTACGTCACATTTACCACCGCCACCCTTTGCGCCTCCTTTATCCTCTTCAGCGGATTCAACACGACCGACCCCACAAACACACTCTCCTTAATTTGTGGATTCCTGACCACGTTCACCGGAGTCTACCTCCTCAACCTCTCGAGAGGCGACCCTCACGGCCACAAGCTCGTTGCCGGACGAGGAGGAAGCGATGCCACGGGTACGGACATGGTATCTGGCCTACAGACTCGTCTGAGCATGTCAGCGAGAAGGAGCGCCGACCCGTCGCGCCACAGCATGAGCAGCCAGCATGGAGACAGAGAAGGTCTCATTCGCGCATACGACGAAGAGGAGGCCGCAGGTTTTGGTCTGACGGACCTTGCCGAGGACAGCGACGAAGAAATGCGACATGCCAACGGCAATGGCAACGGCAAGGCACGCTATGATGATAGCATTGAGCTCGACAACCGGAACAAGTCTGGTGATAGGTAATACAAGGCCAAGGCGTTCGACTCAGCATAAGAATAGAAGCCCCTCGAGGGTATTCCTCCTGGGGCTCTGCCGCTATTTTTCCATCTTGTTTTATCATCTACCGAGAAGGGCATTGTACATTTCCGAAACCATTTGACCGGGCATTTCTCTCGGAGCATGGGTAGATGCATTCATGGACGATACACCACTACGCAGCGGCATGCGAAGGTGCTGGTGCCACCGCCCTTTTTGCGGACGGGGTCGGCGCAGGACGAGATGTATTGTTTATCATTACTGGAGTATTACGGGCACACGGTCTTGGGCGGCGTTGGCGGAATTTGTATCGGGTCTAAGAGCACGTCCTCGTTGTACGATACCGAAGGAGCATGAACTATTGGGGAGTCAGGGGGTTGTGACGGAAGACCCTTTTCTACCGGGTCTTGGACAGTCAATGTTTATACTACTACTTGGAGGGCGGAGAACGCAGCGAGCACGACCGCAGCAAGAATGTCAGGGCACACGAATGGTTGGGATTGTAGATTTTGTTTTCAAGTCGCAGGGCTTCCAGGAGAGGGGAGGGGATGATAGGGGACTGAGGATGTGATATTCCCTCCAGTCTTGAATTTGACGAAAAGACGGAGAGCGAAGAAGTACTATAGATGAAGAATTATCACGATCAAGCAAGATGCAAGATGACAGAAGAGTATACGTGAAGTCGAATGGCTGGTTGAGGCGGTTGGTTAATTCGGGTACCTGGAATGGTAGGTAGTCATTCAGGGGTACGGAGTAAGGATTTACCGGAATCCAGGCCAGTCATCAGAGATGGAGCCTCGACTAAACACGATACTCTCAACACATCACACACAAATACACCGTCAAGCAAAGAATTGGCAGACAGAAGACACGTCTCGCACGCGTCTTCGTAATCTTCGGGTCTCATTTTTTGTTTTATGCTTTGCCTACCATTACAAGCAAGAATGAAACCGTCCGTGCCCTTAGCAGATGCAAATGATCAATTGACGCCTGAGTAGACCTCTCCGTCCCTCATCCCTTGGATCTCCCATCTCCCCTCATCTGGTTTTGATGGCTTTTCCCAGCCGGGGGCTTAGGTTCCCTATTGCTCAGCAGCAGGCTGGGCCTCCTCAGCACCCTCCTCCTCGGCCACCCGAGCGTCCTGAGCGGCCTGGGCCTGGGCGGCCTTAGCACCGTAGTCCTGGCTCACGGGCTGGAGAACAGCCTGCTCCTCCTTGGGCTCGATGATGGTGACGGCGTCGGGGAGAGTCTTCTGGGGACCGGCCTTGCCCTCGGGGTCGGAGCCGCGCATGATCTTGACCTTGATACCCAGGACACCCTGTCGGAGAAGGACGTGGCGGGTAGCAGAGTCGATGAAGTCCTTGGCGGGCTGACCAGAGTGGATCATGAAGCCGTCGGTGAACTTCATGGACTTGGCACGGGCAGCACGGAGCTTGCCAGAGACGACAACCTCGCAACCCTTGGCGCCAGACTCCATGATGAAGCGGAGGACACCATAGCAGGCACGTCGGACGGCGAGACCGTTGAGGAGCTTGTAGCGGAGGGACTCGCACTGGGCGACGGCGGAGAGACCACGGTTCTGGACCTTGGCGGCGTAGAGGGAGACGGAGTTCTCGGGGAACTTGAATCGCTTCTGGATGAGCGAGGTGAGCTCGCGGATGCGGCGGCCCTGCTCGCCGAGGACCTCCTGGGTGTGGGTGGCTCGGATGATGATGTCGGTGACAGTGGGGGTAACGCGGACCTCGACGCCGGAGTAGCCCTCCTCAGCGAGCTCGCGCTGGAAGAACTCGTTGAGCTCGGCGTAGAAGACACCGTCAGCGACGAACTTTCTCCGCTTGGAGCTGGAGGAGAGAAGAAAGTCAGCATCAAACAATTCGTGTGCGAGCTTTGGCGGGGTGATGGCGACGGCGATATCGACAACACACAAAACGGCTGCGCAATTCAGCAGAGGGTAGAGCACGACTCACATCTGAGAACCGGGGTGAGCCATCTTGAATTGTAAGACTTGGTGTCGAAAGGACTTTGTCTTCTTTGTCTGTTGGCGAGCGGAGGGTTGGGGGTCGGGCTGAAGAGAAGAGATTCGCGATCCTGGGACTGGAGGTGGATTTGGCGAAGCCTCGCTCACTCACAACGTTTGTTCGGCCCTCTCTCAATTTTTTTGGTGTGGGTTGAGCCCTAAATCTGGCAAGCGGGCACTGAGCGCACAAGTCTCCCGATTGGGTAAGGCGGACCCTAAAATGATGCTGGGGTGCGAGGCCGTGGTCCGGAGCTCGGGGAAACAATTACACGGGGTTCAACTTCCATTCTCCCATCATCCCTGCCCGCTCCTGCCCAGACAGTTCCCAGCGCTTGGGCCACCTTCCCTGACGTCTCCCCCCGTGGCTGGTGAGCCCCGCGCTTGAGGCTAGAGGCAGGCGTCAGTCTGTGTGGCTTGTGATGAATGATGGACCGACCTCACCTCAGCTTGGACTGGACTGGACTTGTTAAACTTGCAGGCGCCCAACTCTTCACTGACGGGGAGATTCAACTTTGGCTCGACGCGAGGACAAAGTCTCTTCTTGTCTCTTTTTTCTTATTCTTCGATAAACTTTGACTCTCCCCTCTACATGAATATGCCAGAGCCCGCTCTATAGCTGTCTTGTCCTCCGGTCGTTCCGCCGCCATTCTTGTCTGCTCGTCGTCTCCTGCCAGCCCCGCGGCCACCCACGAGCTATTCGCATCGCATCGACTCGGACGCCGAGCTCCCTTTACAGCTCCATTTCTGGCTTGCTCCATATCGATCCGCGTGTGCTCTTCCGAGGAGCACAGTTTGTATATGATAAACGAAGTTTATTTCACTTGGAAGATTCCCTGCTACGACTTGTAACCAGCAAATCCATCTTGCTGGAGACGCTCTCCGCCGTTGGCCAAGATGGAGGCTCGAAAGGTACGCGTGACCGCTCTCCTTTAGTGTTTTCCCTTTTTTGATGTCACGACTATTACTTGATGTCGCCCTTCACCTTTCTAACAAAGTGTGCAGATCATCGAAGGCGTGCAGGGCATCTACGGCGGCCAGATGACCCACGGCACTTTGCGCCTGACCGACTTCCACCTTGTCTTCTGTGCACCCATCGACCAGTCTGTCGACCCTGCAACTCTCTCGTCACAAAAGGCTTCTGGGGGCCATCCCAAAGTTCGAGAGCGATGGATTACGTACCCGATGCTCTGCTACTGTGCCCTCCGGCCCGTTCCTCCTGGGTCTCGGCAAGCCCCATCGATCCGCATTCGATGCCGCGACTTTACATTCGTGACCTTTAACTTTACGGACAGCAACGTCGCACGCGAGACGTTTGAGTTCATCAAAACCCGAACCTGCAAGCTCGGGACGGTAGAGAAGCTTTATGCTTTCAGTCATAAGCCACTTAGGGGTGAGCGCGACATTAACGGCTGGTCATTCTACGATCCCAAGGCGGAGTTCCGGCGGCAGGGAATCAGCGAGAAGCTCCCCGACAGGGGCTGGAGAATCACGCATATCAACAAGGACTACACTTTTTGCGACACCTATCCTGCACTCTTGGTTGTTCCATCCAACATCTCGGATAACGTACTCAAATATGCTAGGGAGTTCCGCTCCAGGAACCGTATACCGGCTCTATCATATATTCACCCCATCAACAACTGCACCATTACTCGAAGCTCGCAGCCTCTGTCAGGAATCACCAGGAAGACGAATGTCCAAGATGAGAAGTTGGTAGCAGCGTCATTCTCGGCTTGGATGCCCGGTGGCTCTGGGGATTCTACACCTTTGTCGAGCCAGGCTGATGTATCCATCGGAGGCTCCTCACTGAATCCAGAGCTCTCGGAGACAGAGCGTTATGAGGATGAGCTCATCTCCAAATCAGCAGCTGTGTTTGACTCCAACGGGAAGCGTCAAGTGTATGGTGCTCAGCAGTACAACTTGATTGTAGATGCTCGCCCAACCATCAATGCCATGGTCAACCAGGTCCAGGGGATGGGCTCAGAAAACATGGACAAGTACAAGTCCGCCCAGAAGATTTTCCTTAGTATCGAGAATATTCACGTCATGCGAAATTCCCTCAACAAGGTCGTCGACGCCCTGAAGGACGCCGACATCTCGCCTCTGCCACCAAACAGAGAGCTACTTCACCAGAGCGGTTGGCTCAGGCACATCCACAATGTTCTAGACGGCTCGGCTATCATCACGAGGCAGATCGGTATCAACCACTCCAATGTCCTCATCCATTGCTCAGATGGCTGGGATCGTACAAGTCAGCTCAGCGCCCTGGCCCAAATCATGCTGGACCCTTACTACCGTACCATCGAGGGCTTTATTGTCCTTGTTGAGAAAGACTGGCTCTCATTTGGCCACATGTTTAGGCTAAGATCTGGCCACTTGAACCACGAGGACTGGTTCACGGTCCAGAAGGACGCATTTGCTGGTGCCAAGGTCCAGCCAGGGGAGAATGATGGCAGGGCTGATGCTTTCCAGAATGTTCTCAGCGGCGCAAAGCGGTTCTTCAATCAGAACAAGGAGGACCCAGACTTGGCTGCCGTTAGTGAGACGGCCTCTGGAAAGACCGTCGATGATGAAGCAACGACCCCAAAGATGGTCAGCCCTGTCTTCCATCAGTTCCTCGACTGCACCTACCAGCTCATCCGCCAGAACAAGACACGTTTCGAGTTCAACGAGCGGTTCTTGCGTCGTCTCCTATATCATCTATACTCGTGCCAATACGGCACTTTCCTCTTCAACAGTGAGAAGCAAAGACATGATGCCCGGGCTGCTGAACGGACTTCTTCTGTCTGGGACTACTTCCTCTGTCGGAAACCCGAGTTCACAAACCCCGATTATGACCCCACCGTTGATGATCACATCAAGGGCAAGGAGAGGATTATCTTGCCACGCCTCAAGGAGATCAGATGGTGGCATCAAGTGTTCGGTAGGACCGAAGACGAGATGAACGGCGCGTTGAATGCCGCTGCAGCCGCGGAAACAGACCGCCAAACCGCCATGTCAAATCTCCAGTATCCCAGCGTCATCCAGGCCGAGGAGGATCCCAGGACCTCAACCTCTAGCTCCAAGTCGATCTCCGGGCCTCCCTCGGTGCTGACTGGGGTTGAGACAGCACACGAGGCCTTGACTCCTCAGGCACGCCGCTCACCAATACAGCGGAGCGCATCTGCTGAGCCTAGCGCAAACGCCTTTGCTACCATCCGAGACGGCATCGCAGGTCTCAACATAGGGAAAGGAATGCTGGCTCAGTTAACCCATGCTTCCGACCCTTCGCCATCGAGCACAGCCCCCGCGCCTACTCGTAGCGACCAGGAGCTGCGCGAGATGACATAGGAGGTCATGTTTCCGGAGTTTGACTCTGTTCCATATAAGATCGTCGAGACCCATGAATCCGTACGATATAATTGCCCCCGACTTCGCAGCGTGACACCAGCGCTGCCACCCTTGAAAACAGGCTCCGATATAAACTCGGACCGGTGGAGTTTCCGCAGCGTGCCAAGCGATCTCGGCGACGAGTGGCAGAACGTGCAGCAACGTGAAGCTGAATCTCCAGATTCCTCCATCGGGGAGGGTCTCCCTGAGAGCGGCAAACCGAGTTTGGAGCCGGATGCGTGCTGCCACTTATCTGAAGCACCCCAGCCCTCTTCCGAGGCGAGCGTGAGGGCAACATTGGGCGATACGGGTATTCAGCGCCCAAAGTCAAGTCAAAGCCTCATGCGGGTTCCATCGTGAATCCAAGTCACCTTGGTTGTCTCCAGTTGGCGTTCTTGTTGGCCTTTGTTTTCGTAGCGTTAATCTTGACCCTTTGGGTCATGGCGTTTAGCATTGTTGGGCAAAGGTTTTGTGGGAGGCTGCATGATTCGCGGGTGGGTACAGGTTGGGGGATGGTTAGACGCATCAATCGACCCCTTTCTCAGGGAGTGTATCCATTTCATCTTGCACAGCGTGAATAGAACCTTTGACTCCGTCCGTGGATGCGTGGCGGTTGTCTTGATGTCATTTCTCTTTGTAGTTTTTGTCTATCTCGTAACGTCGTCCCAAGCGTGGAAACGTCCCTTTTCTACATGTCGATTCGTATCCTCTCTCTTGGTCTTTTCGAGCTTCAACTATCCTCCTCTAGATCGACTCGGCCTCCCCCTCGCCTTCTCTTGACCTCACATTTTACACTCTACCTCATATGCGAACCTCTTACAGGAAGACCTCGAGGTTGATCTCGAGAGTGCTGACGGGGTATCTATTCAGAATTAGTATGGGTTATGTGTCTCAAAATAGTGTCAGGGCTCACCTCAAATCAAACTTCTCCAGTACGGTAGGGTGCAAGATGCCGAACTCTCCGATACGCCTCTCCTTTCCGCCGAGACGAAGATACACGGAAGCAGCATGGCCAGCGAAGAAGGTAGCATCATCGAGCTCTTCGATCCAGTATTCATCAGGCTTGGTAGGGTTCTCCTTCACATCAAAGTCGACGCTCTTGCCAGCCAGACCCTCCTCATGAGTGATGAAAGCTGTGCGGAGCATGAGCAGCACACGATCAAGGAGGCCGTGGACCACCTCGAAACCACTCGTCCGGCCGTACCAGGCAGCGGCAAAGTGTCGCTCGTTGCGGGCCTTGCGCTCCTGGGACTCGTCCTTGAAGACGACATCAGAAACCTCAAAGATCTTCATGGGTACGCTGTGGCCCTTGTTCTCACGGATGGTCTTGAGAAGACCGGGGAGAAGTGTTGACCGCACGACCTGGTACTCGGCAGTCTTGGGGTTGGCGAGACGGACGACGGTGTTTCCGTCATCCTTTCGGTTGAGCCAAGCAAAGTTCTCATCGTGACTGCACAGAATCAGGGGCATGACTTCGCTCCAACCAGCCATAGCAGCCTCGGTGCGGATAATGTCGCTGAGCTTGTTAACCATCAGGGGAGCGCCAACAGTGGCACTCCGGGTAGGGGCAGTACGGGGAAGGTTGTTGTAGCCGTAGCACACGGCGAGATCCTCCATGACGTCGCATTGGTGAAGGACATCAGCTCGGGTAGGGGGGATAGACACCTCGAGAATGTTGGAGTCTTTGGTGGAGGGTGTGGAGATGTAGGCCATCTTGGAGAGGAGCTTGCACAGACTCTCGGGAGATTCGCTAAGGCCAGTGCAGCTGTTGAGGTAGTCGATCTCGACCTCGGCCACTCGCGGCTTCAGAGTAGGGGTCACGCGGGTGAGCTTGTTGTGCTCAGAGATGATTTGGACGGGCTCAATGGTGAAGGGCTCGGCGCAATACGTGGAGAACATGGTGACCATGATATCGGTGACGATCTCGAGCTTGGTAAGGTCGGTGGCAGTGATCTCCATGAAAACGTTGGTGGTGTCGAGGGTGATCTTGGAGTGGTCGCCGTTGATGATGGGAGGAAGGGATCCGACAATGCGGTTGGAGTCGTAGATGACAGGGTAAACGGGAGAGTCGCGGATGATGTGGAGGAAGCGACCCAGGTGCTTGTCGTTCTCGTAGAAGGTCATCAACTCGGCAGAGTCCATCTCCTTGGTCTGGTTGAGGGGGATGAACTTGATGTCCTTGGGAGGGAGGGCCTCGTATGTGAAGGGGCCCTGAAGTGTGTCGTAGTCATGAGTACCAATCGAGACGAGGGTTCGGTTGCGGGCGAGGTTCTGGTGAAGCTTGTCTTGTAGAGCGATGAAAGACTCGTAGCGGTCCTTGTCGAACTTGACATTGCGGAGGATGGCGCCAGAAACGTACGGCCGGACTTGCTCGACTTCGGGCAGGACGGTAATGCTCTCCAGCTTTCCACTCGGGGGCTCAACGAGGCGGTAGTTGGGAGCCTCAATACGGCCGCGGAAGATGTTTAGGTTCAGGGCAATGCCCTCGAAGCAGAGCATATCATATCGGTTGGCGGGAATCTCGATCTTGAGCTGCGGGGGCTCCTGCTCGCCGTTGACGATGGGACGGTCGTCATTCTCGGTATCCTCGTCAAGCTCGATGCCGAATTCGAAGCAGAGATCCTCGAATTCCTCGGTCGTGAATCTGTTTTAGGTGCAAAAAAGTTGGTCAGCATAATAGTCGGGCGCGAGCTTGGGCGAGGTCGGAGTGGTGATGGTGGGGGGACAAGAAGGAGGGGCATTCGCACTTTTGACCGAGGGCTTCGTAAAGCTTGTACTTGTCGACGGAAATGGTAGGCATGATGAGATGAAGCGGGAGGGCTCAGCGGCGTGTCCTCTGGCCGATATTCCTTTGTCCGGTGAATTGGAGGCAAGAGGTGAGCTTCCGTCGAGCGTGGGACGTGGGCTTGAGGCGTGGATTGCACTGAGTCACAGGAAATTTTGGGGGATGTAGTTGATCGACTCGGTGCATGCGCCTCGGGGGAGAAATGTCTAGGATACCGGGGTACACTGCGAAACGGTGCACGGCAGTAGAGGGCGTGGGTACTGCACTAGCTTGGCGATTTGGCGGGGTGAAATTTATCGGATCATCAATGCTCCTGTGCCGGGTCGCTGATTGCTACCCGCTGTGGCTGGAGAGGGGCATTGAATCTGGGGAGGAATTCAACTCAGGGACATGATTTCGCCTTGCAGTGCTGTCTACGGTGGGCTGAGTGATGGGTCTAAATGTTTGGCGACGACATCTATTTCACAAATGTCCAGAGTGTCCATCATTCTCATCCAATCTGTCAAGTGTTAAAACAGTTCTCTCGACCCCAAAAGCGCTGTCCCTTCTTTGATGTCTCGGGTGCTTCCCCTGGTGAGCAAGCTGCCAAGGATCGTGGAGTTACATCATGCTGTGCCAGGTAGCCCTGGAGACGGCGGGGGAACTGGAGCTTGAAAGTTCAGGGCTTGAGCTAATATGGAGGTGACGTCTGATGATGCTCCAGTGCCTTACATGCATCCAACGTGTTGGGTTTTAGGTTTTGCATACATGCCCGTACCGTATGGGCCAGTTTATCGCAGAAGAAAAAAAGATATTTGGATCGAGATGTCCAGTGACTGATGCTTGTCAAGAAACAGATTTGGCCTGTTCCACATCATCAGCCACACTGTACCTGACGCGCTGACCGAAGGTGAGAGCTGCCCCTTCCTGTGAAATGAAATGAGGAGCCACTTGAAACCCCACCTCAGCCACACCCTTCATCCTTACCTCTCCTGTTCGGCCGCCTGGTTGCCCCTCTCCAGGGCAGCGTTCCTTTGTGCTCAGTGGCTGCCGATGCCGCCTCGTCCACTCCCAGCTAGCCTGGTTTCCAGTTGGCAGCCCGCCCGAGCACACAGGGCATCCGTCACTGAAGAGGGGACCGCCAATCACCAACTCCCAGGCGGTCGACGAGAAAAATGCCACTGCGCTGAGGCCTGCCTACTGCTGGACCTACCTGACCCCCATAACAGCTCACCCGCTATTATCGGCAGCAACCACCACCTCGCTCATCAAACCTCCCACTCCACACCCGCTCCCTCTGCCTCTGCCTCTCTCTCTTCTCTCCCTCATCTTGATTCACATGCCCGTACATCTTTGACGACGCTGCTGCTGATATCGGCCACCATCTCGACCTTATCCGCATCATTCCCCCTCCGATACCGCCTCCGCTGACCTCGCGGCCTCGTCCCTCTCTCATCCTGGTGGTTTCTCAGCCCTCCTCGTCGGGCCAAAAATCGTGTGTTGGGACTCCGCGCAAATCATTGCATCACCCGCCCACGCACCACACACGCGATCCACCCGCAATCATCAACCTCCTCCTACCTCCCTAACGACCATCCCGCATCCTCGTCGACCTTGCCGCTCTTTTTCTTGATAAATCTGCGACTCTGCCACCCCCCCTCGCCATGGCTGACGCGCCCAACTCTGGCGATGAGCTGTACCCTATCGCCGTCCTCATCGACGAGCTAAAGGTAATGCCCATAGTCTGGCGGTGACGCCACGCTGCAACGCTCGCTCCTGTGCCAGCACGCCCACCGTCGACGACTTCCGCTGACTTGCAACCTTCTCTTCCCAGCACGACGATGTTTTGCTCCGTCTTAACGCCATCCACCGTCTCTCCACCATTGCTCTCGCTCTCGGCGCTGAACGAACTCGTGAGGAGCTCATCCCCTTCCTCGATGGTCAGTCCCGGTTGCCAACCTCCCCGCTCACCAATCTACGATGAAAAAGAGCTTTCCCCTAACCTTGATATTATTCAGAGTCCGTGGAGGATGAGGACGAGGTCCTCGTCGCCCTGAGCGAAGAGCTCGGTGGTTTTATTGAGTATGTCGGTGGTGCTCAGTGGGGTCACGTCCTGCTGTCGCCCCTCGAAAACCTCGCTGCTATCGAGGAGCCCGTCGTGCGCGACAAGGTAGAATCCACCTCCATCGCCCTACTCCTGCCGCGCTGACCCCCCATCCAGGCCGTCGAGTCCCTAAACAAGATTTGCTCCGAGCTCTCACCCCAACAAGTCGAGGAGTACTTCATCCCCCTCACGATCCGCCTCGCCAAGGCCGATTGGTTCACATCAAAGGTCTCGGGATGCGGTCTCTTCACAACCCCTTACAAGAAGGTCTCCCCGCCTGTCCAAGAACAGTTGCGCCAACAGTTCGGCATGCTCGTCCACGATGAGACCCCCATGGTCCGTCGCCAGGCTGCCACCAACCTGGCCAAGTTCGTCAAGGAGATGCCTGCCGCCATCGTTGTCGACGAAATGATACCCCTCTTCCAACATCTTGCACAAGACGACCAAGATAGCGTTCGATTACTGACGGTCGAGGTCCTCATCTCGATTGCCGAGGCCGTTCCCAAGGAGCAACAGTCGAGTCACGGCGTCCTCCTGACGTCCCTACGCAACTTGATAGAGGATAAGAGCTGGAGGGTGCGATACATGATTGCCGATCGTTTTGAAAAGGTTTGCTGCGTTCTCCGGGCTGTCATTTCTTTGATGCTAATGATTGCAGATCGCCAAGGCAGTTGACGAGGAGGTCGTCTCGCGAGATCTTGTCCCCGCATTCGTGAAGCTTCTCAAGGACAACGAGGCCGAGGTCCGAACCGCTATCGCTGGCCAGATCCCCGGCTTCTGCGCTCTCGTGGATCGCAACGTTCTTCTCAACGACATCATGGGCAGCATCGAGGACCTCGTCTCGGATACTTCCCAGCACGTCCGTGCTGCCCTCGGTACTCAGATCAGCGGCTTGGCTCCGATTCTCGGCAAGCAAGAGTATGGCACCTACACCTCTGCGCCGCGACATTGATGCTAACATGCGCTAAAGGACCATTGACCACCTACTTCCCATGTTTCTTCAGATGCTTAAGGACGAGTTTCCGGAGGTTAGGCTCCACATCATTTCCAAGCTTGAGCTTGTCAACCAGGGTAAGACATCCAGATGAATCTTGCAGTTGGGCGCGTACTGACATGGGCCAGTCATTGGTATCGATCTCCTCTCACAATCGCTTCTCCCCGCTATCGTGCAACTGGCCGAGGATAAGCAATGGCGAGTGCGACTTGCCATTATCGAATACATCCCTCTCCTCGCCAGCCAGCTCGGCGTGCAATTCTTCGACGAGAAGCTCAGCAACCTGTGCATGGGCTGGCTGGGAGACACGGTCTTCTCGATCCGCGAGGCTGCTACTCACAACCTTAAGAAGTTGACCGAGGTATTTGGCGTGGAATGGGCCAGCGAGGCTATCATCCCCAAGGTCATGGCCATGGGCAACCACCCCAACTACCTGTACAGAATGACCACCTGCTTTGCCATCTCTGTAAGAACGACCCTACCCCTGTGCGCAAAAGGCGCGACTAACGTGTTCTCAGACTCTGGCGACCGTGGTGAGCATGGACGTCATCGCCAAGTCGATCCTCCCAATGCTTGACAAGCTTGTTGGAGACGATATCCCCAACATCCGATTCAACGTGGCCAAGACGTACGCAGTGCTGATCGATGTGCTCCGACGCCTGCCCGACGAGGGCACCCTGCACGACCTCGAGAAGCAGGGCAGTGAGATCACGCCGTCACCACGAGGCATGGAGCTGATCCAACAAAGAGTTGTGCCCAACTTAGGCAAGCTGCAGAAGGACGACGATGTGGATGTGCGGTACTTTGCTACGACAGCGGCAGCTGCTGTCACGGGACCCATTGCTGGCGGAGAGCCCATGAATACATCGCCATAGATGAGAGACGTAATGAAGCAATAATTGTTGCCGCGGCAGATTTTTTTTGGTCTGTTTTTGTTACGTCCGTATCGCCAGAGAGAAGAGAGCCAATGAGCCACCACACGTTGCATATTAGAAGTCACAAGCCGGACCGGGCAGTCCTGGGCTGGACCGGGACTGAGGAGGATGGAATGGATAAGACATGGGTTGAGAAGAGATATCCACGCAAAGCCTCTAGAGAAAGCGGAGGACGAGAGATGAGGGGTCGGGCTTGGGCAGACATCCAGGTGCTGGTGAGAGGGCCAGGCAGGGTAGTCCAGGCGCCGATCAACAAGTCCAAATATCAATGTATGATAACAAACAGAGCTTGCAGAAGTGAATGATATCAACTGTTAGTGACCAGGTGCTGAAGCCAGCACGATTGTGATGAGAGGCGAGGCATGAGATATCTAAAGGGGTATCTTGGTTCATATTTTATTTCATCTCATCTAGGCCCTACGGAAGCACAAGGTGCTGATGGTCTGGCCCTTGGCACCACCGAAGCTGAATGTCCGGTACTCGACTCTTCCAACAACATCAAAGCCCTCTCCGTCCCTTCTCTCAAACCAGCTCCGCAGCTCTGACTCGGTCCAGTTACAGCTTGTGACCAAGAAGATGCCGCCCCTACGGACCAGCTGGAGCACCCTCTCCCGGTATCCCTCGCACAGGCGTCGACCCTGAGCATCCTTTTCGTCACTGAGCGAGATGGCATCAAAGGTCCCCTTGTCCAGCACCACGTCCCAACCCTCGGCCTGTGAGCCGTTGAGCACTGTGTCAAATGGGCCGGCTATCACATCCCATTCTTGGAACTCGACGTTTTCGGATTCTTTGGTGGTGGCGATCTGTCGAGCGAGGGAGACACTCTTTGGGCTGTAGTCGACTCCTAGAGCCCGACCTGTCCAGTCCTCTTCGCGCAGCGAAAAGAGGAGAGAGCCATTTCCACAGCCGAGGTCGAGGAAGCTGGTGTTGTCTTGGGAGAGCGCGGGGCTGTCGGGGTCTTCAGGTTCGAGGAGGCCTTCGAGGAACTCGAGGATCTTCGCTTCGGCGTCGGAGTCGTCGAACCACACGGTTCCGATATCGCTTGGGTCTTCGGTGTTGTTTGTTATCTCGGTCGTGTACAGATTGTCCCAGCTGGGCAGCAGCACATGTTAGACTTGGGGGGGGTGGACGACGCGAGATGGTGGGGGGAAGGGTCAGACGGACTATTCTTTTGTGCCGAGCTTGGAGGGCTCGAGATGTTGGGGGTTGTCGCTTGAGGACATTGCGATCTGATCTAGAAAGTAATAAGACGGTAAGAGACCAGAGAGGGCTTGTTTGAGGCCTGCCTGTTCTTCTGATGTTGGATATTTGAAGCTATCTCGAACAATTGTGGTGGGGTATGCATGGTGGTGTGTCCCAAAGTGGCAGGCGGTGAAGGCGGGGTGTTTGGCAATTGACAACCAACCTCGTATACTCTCACCACTTGAGGTAAGTAAGAAGTTGACGTCTGGTTTACAGGTCCTTTTGCTAGTTATAGTCGGACACTATTACAATGAGTAGTCTCATCTCAGCTAGTCACACTCATGGCCAAAGATACGTATCTTCACAATTGTCACAAGTACCAAGCAAAAAGAAACATCAACTGCGGGTCGTGACGACGATTGCATTCAAGCCGGGGGTATTTAACAATAGCACAGGCTTCTCTTTCTACGTCACCGCCCTCGCCAGGCGGAGAAGCCGTGTAGACAAGGGGGCGAGAAGAGAAAAACAACGCCTTTCCATGCAGCAACCAGCAGCAGCAAAATGGATCCAAAGAGAATTTTGCCGTGCATGTCGAAGCCCAAGATTGGACCACACACTGCCCGTCATCTCTTTGGTCCTCTTTATTCCGTGAGAATGGGGTTGGCCATCCCCATCTCATATCATGTCATATAATTCCATCATGAAGATCTCGTCCTTGATGCCAACAACAGAATCAAAACATCCCAACACCAGGCCCCAAGAGTTTCCCAATCAGTAACCAAGGCAGTAACAGCAAAAACCAGTATGAGCAATTAGACACCCAACCCGGCTCGCCCACTCTCCCCGAGCAGTAGCGTCCAGGTTTGCGAGAACAAAAAACAGAGCCATTCATAGAACAGGCTCAGTAGAAAGACTCGACCATGGTGTCCTTCATGCTGGTGTTGATGTTGCTGGGGCCCTGGCCCTCGCCGAGGCGGAAGACGCTCTCGATGACGCTGAGCTCGGTGGCAGTGGTGTCGAGGCCGGTGACGGCGAGCCAGTCGTTGACAACCATGCCGGCGCCCACCACGTTAGAGCCGCGGTTGACACTACCGGCAACAAGAGGAACCTGAAGCAGACTTGACAGCTCGTCCTGGTCCTGAATGGGGGTCTTGGGGTGGACGAGACCACCCTGGTTGGACAAGCTCATGTAGCTGCCCACGAGAACATTGTCGGCGATGGTCTGACGGAACACCTCGACGCCGAGCACGTCGGCAATGATCTCTTCAGTCTCGCGCTCAATGTCTGGGTGGACTAGGGCGATGTGGTCGTTTGTGACGATGACGTTTCCGAGAGCCGAGAGACGCTCCTCGATTCGCTGGATGCGGACCGAGTCTGGAAGCGAGTTGCGCAGGTGCTGGAGCTCCTGGTCGGTTGTCGTCGTGGGCACGAGAAGACCCTTTCGGTTGCCCGCAGTGAGGCGGCCAATGATGCGGGTGCCCGCAATGGTGGTGCGGACGGTGGGAACGATGTCTTGGAGTTCGGCCTCGAAGACACTGCGTGTGTCAGCACATCATGAAGTTGGGAAGCTTGTGCTAGGGTCATGAAGCTTACCTGTAGAAGTTCTCGCTGGCACCGAGGGCGACCAGAGCGTAGGAATTGGTCAAGGTGGAAAAGACACCGACCCTGGAAAAATAAAAATCAGCATGATTGCTTCCATCGCGTGATTGTCCATCTCGAAGCAAGCGAGATGCGTGCGCATCAGGCAAAGGCGGGGGCGGGGTTGATCAAGAGCTTCATTCGCCGCGGGGGGGACAAGGGAAAAAAGAGACGACATACTCGTTGGAGTTCTCGAATTGCGCGCGCACCGCCATGATTGCTGAAGTGTTCTGAGTAGTGGTACCTGTAGTGACTAGAATTTTGAAGGTTTGAAGGAGGAGGTAAAATAGAGTACCTAGGGTTTGGCTGTTTGTCGCTGTGTAGGAGGAAGAAAGTGTGGATGTGGTGAGTGTGAGGTTTGGGTTTTTTTTTTCTCTGGGCCTCGTAGCTCCTGCGGGGTCTCATACACGCACAGCCGGCTGTGCGTTTAATATCACGTGACTTTTGCGCACAGCCGGCTGTGCAAATAAGATTCGTTATGTAAGCCCGATACATGTGTGTGTGAGTAAGAGGGTCACCCCTTGATCAATTGAAATAGCATTGATTCACGCCATTGAGAGATGAGATGATCACATGTAGCTACAGTCATTTCAATACATTACATATGATCTATTCTCATCTGCCTAGGACCGGTGAAGAAGACACAATGCCTCTCATGACACCACAGGCGCTACGGTACGAGTGAATCACTTCACATATCATAGTATATAAAGCAGAGGCTTCTCCCTCATAGGAAGCTATTCATTTTCATATCAATGCAGTGCAAGATACCGTCAAGATGTCTTACTTCAACCAAAACAACGCTCAGAATGTGCCCATCTACATCTGCCCCCAAACATCAACGCAACCTAGGCTAACTTACGCCTCTAATCAGAACCAACAGTTTGTTCTTCAGCCTATTGCCAACAATCAACAGCAACCGCCGCGTGGTATAGGTCATCCAATGCAGAACCCAATGACATATCAGCATTGGTGGAATCAGCATACCTTGCCAAGTGACCCAAGGTCCCCCAATTCCCTGTACAGGCAGAACCCTCAAGCCCTGGTAGCAGCACGGAATACCGTATACGGTCCTCAAGGTGATGCCCTTCGCGAGGTACCACGGCCGGGGGGGTATCACCTTGAAGGAGAGTGGCATGTTGGGTACCTCGGTCATCAGATAACCCAACGGCAACAGCGCACTGACCCTGATGTAAATCCAGTGTGGCTAACAAACCGACCGACCTAGACCGGCCCCTTCGGTCTATCGGTCTGGGTTCACCAAGACTCTCGGTCTGTCGGTCTAGGTCTGTCTGGGCCAGCAGCCTGGTCGGTCTTGGTCTGATTAGCTGATTCTCTCATTGGCTACCTTTGCCCTGCCCCACTTATTTTGGCACTGCGAAACTCGAACGGCCGAACAAGTGGGGATGGCACGGGTACCTGAAGGCTGAGTCGACCAATGGGACGCCTGGAAACCACTAACCCAGACCGACTCAGACCACCCAATCCGACCGGCAGCTCTGGTCTGTCGGTCTGACGAGAATGGCCGGTCGGTCGGACTGCGGTCTGAAGGTGGTCTGTCAGACGGTCTGTCAGACGGTCGGTTTGTTAGCCACACTGTGTAAATCCGATGTGGACTCGAGGCCATCTGCAGCAGATGGATCAATTCTATCGCCAACAGGCAATTGGCGTCCCGGGCGTGAATTGGCCCTCTCCAGCTGTAGGTATAACCAACTATCAACCAGCCCTTTACGCCGCAGAGATGTCGGGGATTCATATGTGCAATGTTGATCGAAATGGCTACGTTCAGTGGATTTGGCAAGGGAGGCAGTGAGGTCACAGAATAGCTCAATGAATACATTGCTTTAGTACTTACTATATCTCTAACTACACAGCCTACTTGACCCTACATGTGAACTCGGCCACAACCCCATTAAATCGAGCCATTGGGTCACGGTATATATACTCGGAGTTTTGCCTTTCTTTTCTGATTCGAATGATATATACCACTTACCTTTCCCGTCAATACTGCAAATGTTCTTAAGGGGGTTCCCGCCACTAGAGCCCCCCCCCTTGTAATCTAACATCTCTCTCAGTAGCCTCCCAGACATGCTTGACTCCTCTGTGCCGTGAGAAAGGCTACTCATCTATTTCTTTCTGTATCCTCTCCTCAACCCGCTTGGTCTCAGCTTTATCCCAATCAATATAACTCATCATCTCCTCCTGCCTCCAGTCCCTTAATTCCTCCTAGCAACGGGGCCCCATTTGCTTATAATCAAGGCACCATTCATATTCACGTTTTGCATATTTCTGAGGCAGCTTCATAGCCTTCCGGTACAGTTGATCGGTCTTCTAAGCTCTCCTAGTCAATGTAGCATACCAGGCCTCTCATGCCTCTTTGTATCGTTGGAAGATAACAAGGGCATGATCACCTCGCAATAGGGACTTCTCTCTTGCACCGCCTGCAGCAACAGTTGCTAATCTAGTTACCGGAGGAGATAGTACCTGAGTTATTGTGTGTGTTA